ATGCCTTCTGCCCCTTTGAGCTGGATTTCTTCTCCTTCTTCTATACCTATTATTCTTAGGTTTGGTCTTTTCATGGTGCCCCATAATTCCTGGATGTTTTGTGTTAAGGATTTGTTGGATTTAAGGTTTTCTTTGGTTGATAAATCCATTTCTCCTAATGTATCTTCAACACTTGAGATTCTCTCTTCCATCTCTTCTATTCTGTTGGTAATGCTTGTATTGGTAGTGCCTGACTGTTTGTCCAGCTTTTCTATTTTCTGCCTTTCTTCAGATTGTGTTTTTTTTAGTGTCTCTATTTCAGTTTTCAACCCTTGCAGCGTTTGCATTGCTTCTTGCAATTTTCTGTTTATCTGTTCGTCCGTTTGTTGCCTTTTATGAATTTTTTGATTTGTTCTTTCTTCCATTTCTTGCATTTTTTGGTTTGCTTTTTGTTCCATTTCTTGGATTTTGTGCTTTGTTTCTTCTTCCATTTCCTGCCTTTTTTGGTTTGTTTCTTCCTCCATTTTTTTCATTTTTTGCTTTGTTTTTTCGACCATTTCTTGCATTTTTTGCTTTGTTTCTTCTTCCATTTCCTGCCTTTTTTGGTATGTTTCTTCTTCTAATTCTTGCATTTTTTGCTTTGCTTTTTCTTCCATTTCTTGCATTTTTTGCTTCATTTCTTCTTCCATTTCGTGCCTTTTTTGGTTTGTTTTTTCTTCCAATTCTTGCATTTTTTGGTTTGTTTTTTCTTCCATTTCTTGCATTTTTTGGTTTGTTTTTTCTTTCATTTCTTTGAGGGATTTTCCAATATCCTCTTTTAGGGCCTCTATCATTTTCATGAAAGTGCTTTTAAGGTCGTTCTCTTCTGCTTCCTTCGCGTTGGAATATTGGGGTCTTGCTGGTGTGGAGTCTCTAGAATCTGGCGGTGTCATATTTGTTCTTCTGTTGCTGACTGTATTTTTGTATTGTCTCTTTCCCATCTCTTCTTCTAGTGGGTGCAGAAAGAGCCCCTTCCTGGTCTGGGGACCAGAGTTCCCTTTTGGTGGGTGCTAGTAAGTCCAGTAATCTGGTGGTTCTTCTATACCTTGTCCAAATGCTGGTCCGTGGGTAGAGAAGAAGAACAGGAATCTGGGGCGCTTAGCCTCCTACCTGGTCCCCTGGACCCTATGCTGGGTCCTGTTGTACCTGATCCGGAACAGCTACTCCCCTGGTCTCCCTGGCTCCTGTAGTTTCCTGGTCTCTTTGGTGGGAGAGAAGATCTGGAGTCTGGGGTGCTTGGCTCCCGCCGGGATTGGGAGCTCTGTGCAGTTCCCAGGCGATCTGCAGGCTCTGGAACACAGGCCGGGAAGCTGGCCTGTTTACCTGATGATGCCAGAGGGACAGCTACTTCCCTGTGCTCCCAGCCTTCTCTAGTTTCCTGGACTCATTGGTGGGAGAGAAGATCTAGAGTCTGGGGTGCTTGGCTCCTGCCGGGATTGGGAGCTCTGTGCAGTTCCCAGGCGATCTGCAGGCTCTGGAACACAGGCCGGGAAGCTGGCCTGTTTACCTGATGCTCCCGCTGGGATTCACAGCCCCATGAGATTTACTTGACTTTCTTTTTTTTTTAAAGAACTATAGTGGGGAGTCAGAATATGGATTGCTATATCTACACTTAGAGACACAAGTGAAATTAGAAAAGAACCGTGGGCTACCAGAAATGAAGTTCTACATGAGCCTGTCAAGGGAGAAGACAATCTACCCCCAACCTCCCTGCACACTGACTTGTCAAACATGCCTTTTGGGTTAGAATGACTTCTATTTCTAAGAGTCTTAATTTTTGTAGGAATTATTCTAAAACCAGAGTAACTCACAGATCTGCCACGGGGATTGAATCTTCTACTTCCACAAGGCTTCTATTCTCTAAGCATAATCTTGAACATCAAATCCTGATACTTTCCTTAACTCCTTTGTACCTTCTTCCATACCCAGCATTTTCCCTTATATACTCCATTTCATGAACTAGTTTTGCTAATGTCTGACTATGCATGGCATCAAAATATACCTCCAAAAATAACAGAAGGTCAAAAAGGGAAATATTTAAATTTTAACATGATCTAATAATATTCTTGATAATTATGTGTTTTAGTGATTAAGGTTTTCAAATATATATACCAAGTGAAGCAGGGTTTCAGCAACCCCTTAGTAGCCTGAGACTTATTCATAAGTGGTAATTTTTGCTTTGGATAGCCATACAACTAATCCATGTATTCTTTGTCATTTAAAAAGTCAAGGGACTCAGAAACAAAACTTCTAATCATTCTCCTTGACACTTTTTCTCTAGCTAAGCCTACAACTCTAACTATGGGTATAAATTTGTTGGACACGTATAGGTACTTACACAATAAAATGCACACAAATGGAAAAAATAGTGACAAAGCAGAAATCCATTTGACTTGTGTTCCAACCTATAAATTTTATTGAAAGAACACTGCTGATGTGAGCATTGTACTCTGGGGCCATTCTTGGTGACAATTGATATTGTTTACATTAAAGTTGTTCAGAGTTAAAATTTATTCTTGCAAACTACAAATAAAATGCAGTGTTATTGGCTGACGGGATGGCTCATTCAGTTTAGTGTTTGTCCTGTAAGCATGAAGAATTGAGTTTAATTTTCAGAACCAATGTAAAATTCTGGGCATGGTATCCTGTACTTGTAATTTCAGTACTGAATAGGCAGAAATAGCCCTGGAACTCACTGACCCACCAGTCCAGCCTATTTGGTGATTTCCAGGCCAATTAGAAATCCTGTCTCAAGAAAAGTAGCCTGTGGTTGGTACCTAAGGAAGTACATATGAAGTTGTCCTCTGTTTGTACATAGATGCACATATATGTGCATGTACGTATGCATAGACACACTTGTACACACAATTTTTAAAAAATAAAAAGTTCCCTAAATATTTTATTTTATGAAATGGGAGAAAAATAACCCCCATAGCTTTCCTTTGAATTTTCTTAAAATCCAAGAATAAAATCAGTCTAATCAAGATAAAAGAAAATTGCATTTATGTGAAAACAGTTCGGGTTGCAATCCAAAAAAGCAATCTTGAAAATGCTTTCCAAAGTTCTATTAAAGGGCAATTGCATGTCCAGTCTTAAACCAAAAAAGTTTTGGAATTATTATTTCTTAGTAGAAATTATGTTTGATGTTATAATTTTGCAAGAAGGATTCTGGTAACAGTTACAGAGGTATCTGGGTAGTTTGGGGGAAAGAGTTGTTGTTCAGAAGGTCTGTAAAGGTTAGTTATGCTCCAAGGCAATTGGGGTTGCCTACAGCCCAGTTCAAATGTAGATAAATCTTAGGTAGATTGGTGATGATCTGAACTCATTTTAGTTATTTTGAGACAATATTACACAAATTTTGTTGTTTTCCTTGAGCATTTTAAAGTACTTTTGAATTAATTTATGAAAGCAAAAGTAGAAAATTCAATGTAATTTAATGATAATGATATAAATGTACTCCATTCTCTTTACAATATATTTTGTCACGTTTCATTTGCTTAGTTGATTGGTCCCCAAAGGCCAGACTGAACTTGTTGACACAACAAAAGACTGATATCTGAGGCTCTAGAGAAAGGAGTCACTATGATTGACATTGATCTAGTACCTTCTCCAAGGAGCTATATGCTTTCTCAGTTTCACTGAGTAGGTCTTTTCTGTCAGTCGCATGTCACCTTGCTGATCTAACTTTGGAATTTAAGCTGAAAGTTAAGAATCCCATATCTTAGTAAGATATTTATATGCACAAATTAAAATGTTCAATTTCATGCAATAAATGAACATCAACGATATTTTCATGAATATCTTTTCTCACCTGTTTTGAATTTGAATTATGATTTTCATTTGTAAAATGTTTAATAAGGTTTCCTTTTAGAATCAACTTAATTGTTTTTATTGTTAATTTATAAGTTGCTTTTGTATCTTTATAATGTTCATTTAAAGCAAATGATATACTGAATTATTTTAAAGGTTTATTACAGTGTATTTGTTGGATAAAACCATATTACTTGGGTAGGTTATAACTAATATTTGACAAATTTTAAGTTATTACAGTTAGAGTAAAATTTCTTCCTTTAGTTTTAGTACTTAGTTCTGAAGAATAATTGCCATGTGTTTGAACAGAATCATGAATCAAGAACACATAGGATTGGGAGCTGCAATTTCTCTAGAATACCTCTTAAGTCTTTAATGTTGTGATTCGAAATATTCATCCTTAACTTAAAAGCAAAAGAAAGAAAACATGTACACAGAGGGATTAGAATCCTTATATGTTAACAAATGGTTTTCTATTGAAGGCAATATCACATTCCTAGTGTAACCTCCATCATGTGTTTGAGTGTGTGTGTGTGTGTGTGTGTGTGTGTGTGTGTGTGTGTGTGGTGTGGTGTATGCACACACATGTGCACTCTCTCCTATGTGTGCGCACAAGGACCAGAAAAGGATGTTGAAGAGGATGTTGGGTGTCTACTCTGTCTCTCTCCAACTTATTTCCTTGAGACAGGGTCTCTCACTGAACCTAGAGTTAGGTTGGTAGCCATCAAATCCCATTGATCCTCCCACCTCCACCCTATACAACACTAGAGTTATAGGAATGTTCTGTGATACCTGGATTTTTATCTAGGTGCTAGTACTCTTACCTAGTAGGGCAACTTCATTTTTAATAACTGACACACTATTTTTTCTACTAAAAATAGAAATATATAACAATTATTTAGTAGCATCTAACAAAATTGACACAAATTTATCTTAATTTGGTGATTTCCTTCTTTCTAATTTCTTCCTTAGTTTGATACTTTTCTTCTTTCTCTCCCTTAATTTTAAATTTTACTGTTTATCTTATCAGATATAATGTCACATATATTAATGAAAACCATGTTGAATCATACAGTTCATGTATCTATAATTTAGAAATGGAAGCCTTTTGGACAGTAATTGGAATTTTTGAGGGATTCACTGTATTTCTGATGGATGGTATTTCCCTACAGCCATCTACGAACAGTCTTGTGAAGCTCACAGGCACAGAGGAAGCCCTTCTGGGATTTACTACATTGATGCAGATGGAAGTGGACCACTGGCACCATTCCATGTGTACTGCAATATGACAGGTATGTTAGTAGTCTTTAGATTTGTATAGCAGCTACACATGGAATCGGAATCAGAGTAGATTCAACAATCTACTCAGTTGACAATATTATTGGTAATTGTATAATGTTGAGTAAAAATACTGCATAGGTATTTGTTAATTTTTCATAAATAAAATTTTACATAGGCAAAATCAAAAGCCATACCAGGTCATCCTTATTGTCCCCACACTTCTCACAATCAAATATTCATATCTATTACAATAAATATGAAACTTTGATTATAAGATTTACATATTTTTACAATTGCTTTGAAATAGCATGTAAATAGTAAAGGTCTTGGAGATATCTGGGATAACAGGAACATACCTAAAAATAATAAAAGCTATATACAGCAAACCAACAGCCAACATCAAACTGAATGGAGAGAAACTCAAGGCAATTCCCCTAAAATCATGAACAAGACAAAGCTGTCCCCTCTCCTCATACGTCTTCAGTATTGTACTCAAAGTTCTAGCTAGAGCAATAAGACAACAAAAAGGAGATCAAGGGGATACAAATTGGAAAGGAAGAGGTCAAACTTTCACTATTTGCAGATGATATGATAGTTTACATAAGTGACCCAAAGAACTCTACCAGGGAACTCTTACAGCTGATAAACACCTTCAGCAAAGTGGCAGGATACAAGATCAACTCAGAAAATCAGTAGCCCTACTGTATACAGAAGATAAGAGGGCTGAGAAAGAAATCAGAGAAACATCACCTTTTACAAATACCACAAATAACATAAAATACCTTGGGGTATCACTAACCAAAGAAGTGAAAAACCTGAATCACAAGAACTTTCAGTCTTTAAAGAAAGAAATTAAAGAAGACCCCAGAAAATGGAAAGATATCCCATGCTCTTGGGTAGGTAGGATCAATGTAGTAAAAATGGCAATCCTGCCAAAAGCAATCTACAGACTCAATGCAATCCCCATCAAAATCCCAGCACAATTCTTCACAGACCTTGAAAGAACAATTCTCAACTTTATATGAAAAAAACCCAGGAAAGTCAAGACAACCCTGCTCAACAAAGCAACGCCTGGAGGAATCACCATTCCTGACTTCAAGCTCTATTATAGAGCCGTAGTCCTGAAAACAGCTTGGTCTTGGCACAAAAATAGACAGGTAGACCAATGGAATCGAATTGAACACTCTGAGATTAATCCACAAACCTATGAACAGCTGATTTTTGACAAAGAAGCTAAAATTATACAATGGAAAAAGATAGCATCTTCAACAAATGGTGCTAGCATAACTGGATATTGGCATGTAGAAGACTGCAGATAGATCCATGTCTACCACCACGCACAAAACTTAAGTCCAAATGGATCAAAGACCTCAACATAAATCCAGCCACACTGAACCTCTTAGAAGAGAAAGTGGGTGGTACCCTTGAATGAATTGGTACAGTAGACCACTTCCTGAACATAACACCAGTAGCACAAACACTGAGATCGACAATTAATAAATGGGACCTCCTGAAACTGAGAAGCTTCTGTAAGGCAAAGGTCACAGTCAGGAAGACAAAAAGGCAACCCACAGATTGGGAAAAGATATTCACTAACCTCACATCTGGCAGAGGGCTGATCTCCAAAATTTGCAAAGAACTCAAGAAGCAAGTCTCCAAAACACCAAAGGATCCAATTAAAAAGTGAGGTACAGAAATAAATAGATAATTCTGAATAGAGGAGTCTAAAATGGCTAGGAGACACTTGAGAAAGTGCTCAACATCCTTAGCCATTCGGGAAATGCAAATCAAAATAACTGAGATATCTTACTCCTGTCAGAATGGCTAAAATCAAAAACACCAATGACAGCTTATGCTGAAGAGGATGTGGAGAAAGGGGAACACTCGTCCATTGCTGGTGGGAGTGCAAACTTGTACAGCCACTTTGGAAATCAGTATGGAGATTCCTCAGGAAAATGGGAATCAGTCTACCATAAGACCCAGCAATTCCACTCTTAGGCATATACCCAAAAGATGCCCATTCATACAACAAGGATATCTATTTCGCTATGTTCATAGCAGCATTATTTGTAATAGCTAGATCTTGGAAGCAACCTAGATGCCCCCACAACTGAAGAGTGCATAGAGAAAATGTGATACATTTACACAATGGAGTATTACTCAGCAGAAAAAAACAATAGAATCTTGAAATTTGCAGGCAAATGGATGGCACAAGAAGAAAGCATCCTGAGTGAGTTAACTCAGTCACAAAAAGACGAACATAGTATGTACTCACTAATATATGCATTTTAGACATGGATCAAGGAAGTGTCAGCCTACAATCCCAGGGCCAGTGAGTTTGGGAAACAGAGAGGTTCCCAAGAGATATGCATTATACCCCAGAGAAGTATAATGAGGCAAGATCTCCTAAGCAGATTGGGAACATGGGGGGAGGGGGGGAGGGAATCAGGAAAAAGAGAGGGGGAGAAGAGGAGTGTAGAAGACATGGGGAGCAGAAGAAGATTGAGTTGGGGTAAGAATAGAAGAGAGCAGGATGAGAGATACCATAATAGTTGGTGTCATTATAGGTTTGAGGAGAGAGCTGATGTTAGTGAGATTTCCAGAGATCCACAAAGATAACACCAACTGGAAAACTAAGTAATATCTGAGAGACTACATTAATAGCCACTATCTGATGATAAGGTTGATGACTACCTTATATAACATCCTAGAACCTTCATCCAGTGACTGATGGAAGCAGAGACAGATACTCACAGCTAAACACTGAACTGACCCCCCCTGGAACCCAGTGACAGAGATGGAGGAGTGATGAACAAAGGGGTCAAGACCATGATGGTGAAACCCACAAAGACACCTGACTGGACAAGGGGGTGCTCTTGAACCCCAGAGGCCAACATGGTACTGATCCAGACTCCAAGAATATATGTAGTGTCAGTGAGGAGGCATCAGAAATCTCTGGGGCCTTGGGTAGTAGATTAGAGTTCACCATGGCATACAAATGAACTTTGGGAGCCCATTCCACATGGAGGGATGCTCTCTCAGCCTGGACACATGGGGAAGGGCGTAGGTCCTGCCCTGGATGAAATAACAGACTCTGGAGATCCCCCCAAGGAGGGCCTCACCCTCCCTGGGGAATGATGTGTGGATTGGGTTGGGGGTGGGGGGGGCTGGTGGAGGGACAAGGCGGGAGCTGGATTGGCATTTTAATCATGCATGTTTCTAATTTAAATTAAAAAAGAATATTAAAACAAGGGAAATTCAGATGATTCAGAACCACCTGTGCAGAAATGTGTTGAAAATAATAATTATCATCAGAACTCCATGATAAAACAGTCAAACAAAATGCAGCTTTTCCCAGAAGTCCTTTGTACCCTATCTTGTCTTCAGTCAAGTCATTTCCATAAAGTAATCCTGGCAAAATCAAAGTACCCAGAAAGCTCAAACCAAGAAAAATTTTGAAAATCATAATTTAAAGATGAGGAAGCTAGAGGTCACACTGCTTATAGTCAATAAAATAATTTAAAGACATACAAATAAGGCAATAGCAACTTTTTAAAGGTCAGTAGGCAAAATACTGTTCGAGAAATTTGAAAGTGGTTATGTGGTAAGAGCTTTGAAAAACCAGTGCCTTCTGTCACGCACGCCAAGGAGCCTGGAAATTATATCGATGTTTTACCCAGTAAAGGGCTAAACAAAATGATCCATAAGAGAAATGAAGTCACAGAGAAAACCATTGACCACCAAATGGAAGAGACAAAGAAGCAGATACAGGCAGAAGCTTGGCTGAACAGATAACCAAGAACAGCAGAAACAAGTGCCAGGGTAGAAATATCAAAGTTCAAGTGGAGGCACACTTCAAGAGACTCAGAGGGAACAAGTCTGAGAGTTAAAACTCTGGGGAGACCCCATCATTGTGAACTTTTTCTGTTACAAGTTTGACCAGCTTATCATAGTTAATAATAGAGAAAATTTTCTTCGTGATTCTAAAAGAAGAGATTTCTAAGAACCACTTTAAACACACTAGAATATGCTATACTTCCCCACAATTTAGCTGCTTCTTCATATTTCATCCTAGTTCCAAAATTCTTAATGTTTTAATGTGTATCACTGGAAACAGTTCCTATATTTTATGATCTTGCTGACTATGGTATCAACAGCAGTAATTATTTAAGTGAAAATTTGTAAATAATTATCCACATCTCATTATGTACCCACATTGTCATTTTATTCTTCAGAAAGGCAGTTTTACAACTAGAGTCCAAGTCCTCCCCTTCTGCATTCCAAGGATATTTTCTATTATTACATTTAAACAATTCAAGACTGGAACAGTTACATCAAATCTTCAAGACCACCAAACCATGACCATGACCAATAAATAAATAAATAACACATGGCTACCTTCACTACCCAATTTATCTCCTTTATAATTGATTTAGTTGATAGGAGAAACATGATAATGTTGAGTAGTTAACTCATAAAAAATTATTTCAGTTTTTAAAACTTATAAAACTAAAATAAGTATATTTAGAACATGTTTGTGTTTGTGTGGATACAGATGCATGTGTGTGTATAGGTGCATATGCATATGAATACACATTTGTGTAGAAGCCAGAAGACCTTGGATTTTGTTCCTCTGGCATCTCCCAATTTTGTTTTGTTAGGAATAATAAGACTCTTCAACTTGTCTCACGAATATCTGAGAATTAAGCTATTAAAATTACTGTGATGTAGGCCTAGATGATGTCTCAGTTAGTAAAAGATCCTGAGTTCAGATCCCAGCACCAGTAGCTCCAGTGATGTGGGAGGGAGAAACTCTCTCTCTCTCTCTCTCTCTCTCTCTCTCTCTCTCTCTCTCTCTCTCTCTCTCTCTCTCTCTCTCGATGAATCTTCCTTAAATTTATCTAGTGAAAAAAGCAGACACACAAATAAGGAAAATGTAACTAAAAAAGAGAGAGAAAGTAAAGTATTCACATCATTTGGCCTCATTCTTGTATTATAAACATACTTTTAAGAACTAGAAAGTCATATTATATGCCTTTAGATGTGATATGTAATATCATGGAAGTTTAATCATCAGTCTTCTGATATTTTATTCCTAAGTACTGGGTTTTGCCTGTAAGTTGCTATACAAAACACACATGAATGCAAATAGCATTTAAAAGTTAACTTATATTAGACATGCCTTTGGTTTGTGTTTTGTAAGCATCCCTGCAGTCCATTGACTTCTTCTCTTTGCCTGGTTTCTTCTTAGCAGACACAGCATTGACTGTGGTTCAGCACAGAGGGCCTGATGCAGTGACAGTCAAAGGTGGCCCAGAAGGACACATGCGTTCTGCAACCTTCTCCTATGCTGCCAGTGCTGCACAGCTGCAGACTGTGGTGGATGTTGCAGAGCACTGTGAGCAACAGGTGGTTCTACAATGCAGGACCTCAGGGTTCTCAGACATAGCAGGTAAGGGTCCAGTGTGATGCAGTACATGTGCAGGAGCAAAAGGGCCAAGGTCATTTACCGGGAGCTTACTCAAAGACTTGCCTAGTTCCAAACCAGACCCCGATTGAACCAAACAGCAGTAAAGAACACCCCTGCCATCTTCTAGTTTCCCCTCTCTCTGTTCCTCCCAATTCCTCCCCTCCAGGTCCATCCCCTTTCTGTATCTCATTAGAAAAGAACAGGCTTCTAAAAGTTAACAATCTGTTGTTTTTACCTAAGTTGTTCTATTTACCAATAAAGACTCAGGAGTCAGACATTGGAGTGAAAAACTGCTAAAACAAAGAATCCAAGAAGCAACCAGCTGACCTTCTGCCAAGGACACAGGAAGAGAGTGTCTATCCACCTATCCTAAACAAAAACAAACAATAAAAGCCACTCTCTAACGCCATCCCTGCTCCTTCCTGTGCATCTCCCTATCTGTATTCCTGTCCCCTCTGTCCTCACTAAGGAAAATTCCTGTGAACTAGTCAATGGCTCCAGCCCTGATCCAAGGTTAACTTTATTAACACAGACTCAGAGTTTCATAGTGTGATAAAATATCCTGCAACATTTCCTCATTTTTGTCTAAATGAAATGGAGAGGTTTAACTCTAACATAGTAAAATTATATACAATAAGAACAGTTATCAGGTACTGTATAAATAAAAAGGAACAGTTTTAACTCTAACACAATAAAACTATATACAAAAGAACAATTAGGTAAGAATTACATTCACAACGTCCAATTCCTTTGTATTTGGTAAATTCAGAAAAAAATTATCTATTGTCTCTCCTATCTCGGTAAGTTCAAAGTTTTATACCTAAACCACTATCATAACTTTTATTATAAGCCTAAAAATACCCTTTTAGGTCTTAAAACATCTTCTTAGATAAACAACTTAAGTTTTTATGTCTCTCCACCTTACATACTTTACATCTAATTTGTAAGGTTTTTCTGAATTTTGTAACAAAGAAAATGGTATAACTAGCTAGCCTTCAATACCCATCAGAGACCCAAGAAGGATAAAATATTACCTGAGTAAACAAGAAGTGCAGAACAAACAACTTCCAAAACTATAGAAATGACAGAGACTGCTGGCTGCCTGGGGACAGTCACCCAAGATTCCTCTGCACTCTTGGGGCAATCCATCTTTGGTCTACAGGCCTAGATTATCTGAAAGAGTTCTGTAAAGCAGAAGTTTTGAAGGATTGACCTACCTTGTCTCGGCAAAGTTCAACAGTATACTTCATTTGTGCCCTGCTTGTCCAGTTTGGACAGCATGCTGTCAGCAGTTGAGACAAGGGAAGTCTCTTGCCCAGTGGCTAACTTTGCCACATTGAAAGCAAGCTCCAAATGGATATTCTTTCATGCCCATCATCCTGACTGCTTTGCTTCTCTGATCTCCAACTTGAACCTTAAACCCCAATATCTGTCCCTAGGTTTTTTATTATTTGCTACACTAGTGTACTCTATATTCTGAGTTCTTGTCTTTCTGTATAGTTTAGAATGGGTCTGTCAATATCCACAATGATATCTTAGTATCTGGACAAAGATTGTATTCAATCTAAAGACGATTTTGGGGATAATTTAATACAATAAGGTTTTTCTCTCTGTGAACATGGATATTCCTCCATTCTTTTTCTCTTTTAACAGACTTTTTAAATTTTGAATTGATTATCTTTGGACATGAATTACACTTTGTAACTAATTTATGTATATCTTCAAATAGCATGAATCTACCTCATTGATAATACTCTCTGTTGTATCTTATTACTTTGCAACTATTTAACTTCATTTACTCATAATTTATATCCACCCAGTACTTCATTGATATAGTATTGTTAATTAGCTGTTATCTACTATATCAATTAAGAATAGAAAGAATATTTTGTTTTTACTTCATGTATTCCCTTCTAATAATCCTTTTATAGATGTCAGTGTTATTTCAGTTACTTCTTTCTGAGAAGTTTTCCTAATATAGGTAAGAAGTTGTAATGAGACCCTATATAAGCCTCAATAGTTCTCTTCCAGTTCTGGTGTCAGCCAGTTTACCTCCTCTTTCTGCCTTTCAAAGTCTCCATTGATTGTCTTTTGTATTAATTATAGGATTTTCTGAAATAGATCCATCTACTCTGTCCTCACCAGTTCAGAAGCATACCTTAAATTTTATCCTTATTCTCTAGGTTCTCTTTTTTATATATTTCTTTATTTTGGGGGATTTCATACATGTATACAATGAAATATCATATCTATTCTCCACTTTCCAATTCCTCCCATTTCTTACAACCATGTCATGACTTGTTTTTAATATACAACCCTCTGCCGGGCATTGGTGGCACACACCTTTAATCCCAGAACTCGGGAGGCAGAGGCAGGCGGATCTCTATGAGTTCAAGGCCAGGCTGGCCCGATAGCCTCCAAAACAATACAGAGAAACCCTGTCTTGTAAAAACCAAAAAAATATATATACAACCCTCTAAGTCCAGTCAGTGCTATCCATATGTGTAAGGGTGTGATACTGTAGACTAGAGCATGGAAAACCTATAGTAGTCACACCCTCAAAAAGAGTGATTTTTTTCTCTCCCTCAGCAACTATGCACTGCCAGTAGCTGCTCAGTAAGAGGTGGGGTCTACCGAGGATTTCCCCACAGATAATTAAAGTTTTGCTGGTATTTCTAAGTTCTCTATAATACTTTAAAGCAGTAGTTCTCAACCTTTCTAATCTGCAGACATTTAATATAGTTCTTAACGTTGTGGTGACTCCAAATCATAAAATTAATTTTGTTGTTTCTTCACAACTATAATTTTGCTACTATTGTGAATTGTATGTAAATGTTTGTGTTTTCTGATGGTCTTAGGCAACCCCTGTGAAAGGGCCATTCAACCCCCAAGGGTCATGACCTACAGGTTAAGTACCACTGGTTTTGAAAAAAATCAAAGATATTAACTATCTCTGAAAATGTACTCATTTTTTTACATATAAGACTATTCTTGTATATTTAGTATATAAGATTTTGCTCTTCACCTGTGCAAGTGTAGTGATGGACAGTTTTTTAAAAATATGTTCTGAGAAGAATATGGCTTTTACTTCATAGTGATGAGTGTTTGACATCCTAGATATTTATTTCTTGACAAACTAAACAGAACCACTTTTTCCTTTCCATGTCTTTCTTTTGGGGAGTGTGTAGATGAAAGTGGTAGTAACTAGAGCACATAAATCTTATTGATGAATGAGTTGTAATTGAATTGTAATCGACAGGAATGTAGAAGCAGGAAACATCCCAGATCCTAACGCAAGGCCCAGTAATGATAATATACAAATTTGAAAACTGACACCATAAAAAGAAGAGAAAGTGTGAGAGTTTTCCTGAGTTAACCAAGCTCCATTGCTTCTGTGATCTTGTGCCTTGATGACTGTCATTTGCCCCCTTCCATGCCCTTCCTTGCTTCTGTATATTTAGGATATAAGATTTCTTCTATAACCATCCTACCTGAACTACAAAATGTACCTACTTTATCACCAGTATCATTTCCTGCCTTAGTACATGGTTCTAAAGAACAAATGCAGTGTCTAAATTTGTTGTTTAGTCACAACCAGTGCTGAGAAACAGCCTGAGCACCTGTACCACTCGTGACACAGGACTTGGTTTCTGAGAATAGCATTATTTAAGACATGAAGAAGACCAATCAGTGAATTTTTTGACCCTCCAAATAAGTAGTCAGGCCACACAATACAAGAAAAACACATACATATAAAAAAAGGTTTTAAGTCCTGACAAGGTTAAGAACCACTGCTTTTGAACAAACTCAAAGATATTAACTATACCTTCTCAAATGCTTAATACATATAAGATGTCTCACGAAAAAAAAAAAAAAAGACGTGGTAAGATTGAGCCAAGCCTCTGTACAAACATTCATCTGTCTCAGAAAACAACTTATTTTTTCAAACAGAATCATTTGAATTTGTAAATTAGTCTGGCTTTTGTTTAGATGGCTTGAACTTTTTAATGTTCTCTTCTAGAGAATGTACAATCTTGTGTACAAAGAAATTAAGAATTCATTTTCTAATAAAAGAAAAATAAGTGGGAATCAATGAAGCCCATATATTGAAACATTAAGAAGGGGAGTTCAATCAGCATTTTTAGGAAAACATGTTCTTGTTGGAATAAAATAAAGTTTAATATTCTTTCTCTCTGTCTCTCTCTCTCTCTCTCTCTCTCTCTCTCACACACACACACACACACACACACACACACACACCACAACATACTTGTTTTATTAAGCATGGAAGTAAAGGAAACTATATTGAAATGTTGGTGACTGGGGAAATGGAGCAACATAGATCTCATCTTTCTCATACTTGTCTTTCAGATGGAACCTCACTGAGCTGGTGGGTTAGAAGAACCAATGAAACATACACATACTGGGGAGGTTCTCTGCCTGATGCTCAAAAGTGTACTTGTGGATTAGATGGGAACTGCATTGATTCTCAATATCGCTGCAACTGTGATGCTGACCAGAATGAATGGTGATTTCCACATGATTTTCCTGTACACACAAAAAATGTAGCTGCATTCTTTGTGCATAATTATCATGTGAGCTGACATAAAAAAGTAACATTTGTGAAAGCAAGTTAAAAATATATTTAAATTAAATGCAGTCAACAGGAGAAATTCAGCAGAACATTGAAAGAATTGTCCATATTCTACTAATTTTATAAACTACAAGTTTGAGGAATATCATTAAATTTCTACTACAGAACATATGAATATTTTATTGTAGATCAAACATTTATTTGAAGCAGTCATCCAGGGAAGCATAGCATTTGGAGAACATAACAATCTATGCAGTGGCATTATTTTCTATTGAGAAAGGGCACTGGGCAACCAAGGGGAGCCCAAGTTTGCTGCAGCCCTGACTAGTCCACTCAGCTCCCTGAACTAATATCTAACACTTACATGCTAATAACTACATTTATTTGGAAATAGGCCGGAGACTGCCATAGAAGGCATTTATGAGGGAACCAGAAAAGTTTACATATTATTTCAGAAAAGAAGATTAAATAAATCATTCTGAAATTTTGCCTTAATCCTTGAATATATGTTTGCAAATGAAGTTGTAAGAGGAGTGCTAAGGAATTTCAGAAGGGTTGTAGGTATTTTCTGATTTGAAATATTTTCATATACCTAATTATGTGTCTTAGAGATATGACCCAATTCTGAACACAAATTTCATTTGTATGCACCTTATACACATAGCCTGAAGGTAATTTTAGGCAGATTATTTAGTGCACCTATGATTTGACTATCAGATGTGGAATTTTCCACTTTATGCTTCATGTCAGAATTCAATAAGTTTCACATTTTAGAATACTTATCACTTGGATGTTCAACTTAGGATTGCTTCATAAGTAATATATATTTCAAAAATAATAGGGAATAAGTAAAAAAAATAGGGGAGAGAAGGGAGGAGAAATATCCCTCTTGAAATTCTGAGGGAGTCTCAAAACTTTGGCAAATCCTCAGTATTCTGTATAAATCTGTAAAGTTGAGATATGACTGTACTAATGAGAAGCTGTCAAATGGTATTAATCCTTACCCTTAAATTGGGAGCTTCTCAATCAACTGAAAAATAAGAAGCAATTGGTCTGCTCTATAGCAATTAAACTATCTGTTCTACAGCAATTAAATGCCCCTTGGTGACCTGTTACACAACTCAGTATTTTCCACAGTAAAAATGGAACGAAAAGAGACTTGCAAATCTTGTGCAAATTAGCCTTTTAAAATTCAAGTATCTGTGGTGAATAACTCATAGAATTGAATTTCTCTTACTAGACTCTCACCCTAAAATGATCATCAGAGGTGTTGAAACACTTGCTTACTGATGCCTACCATGTTAAGAATTTCCCAGCTATATCAAATGGTATTCCAGGCCATGTGTTTTAGTTTACCTACCATTAATTTACTCTAGAACTAAATGGTGATATTTGGTCATACATGCTCTGTTCTTTACACAGATGTGCATAAAGGAGCCTTAACTAGATGAAACAGTGAGATTTTAATTTTAATATGGAAATAACATTTTTGCCATTAAATATTTCACACACTCCAGAATATTTACTTCATGTTAATTGAGATCTCTTTATGTGCATTAAAGACTGTTTCATGAGTATTTTTAATTGGATGAAAATCTTCAATAATTTAATTATAATATTAATTTTAGCAAATTTTATTTTAGTTCTCTTTTTAAATTTCAAGTATTGATGGGGATGCCTTCTGTTCATATTTTTCTCTTATTGGTTGATGAATAAAAAGCACTGTGGCCAATAGGGCAGTAAGATAGCTGGGACTAGGAGATGAGGAGGATTCTGGGAAACGTAGGCAAAGTCAGTCACCATGTAGGCTGCCAGAGGAATAACTGGGCATTACTGGGTAAGCCACAGCCTCATGGCAATAAATAGATTGATAGAAATGGGCTAGTAATTAAGACAGAACTAAACAATAAGAAGCCCTAGCCAGTGGCCAACAGTATTATAATTAATATAGCATTTGTGTATTTATTTGGAACTGATGAGGCTCTGGGAGCAGGCTGGCATAAAGAATGCTCATAACAAAACTATGGTTTCCTGAGTCTTTCAGTTTTGCAAATCTGAAAGGATTATAATAGTTAAGAATTCTGACCTTGGGCTGGAGAATCAGCTCAATGGTTAAGAACAAGTGTTACTCCACAGAAGACATTAAGTTCCCAGCACCCACATGGTGGCTCACAAGCATCATAACTCCAATTCCAGGGATCCAACACCCTCATCTGACTTCCACGGCACTAGGCACACACGTGGCACATAAACACACAGACAAGCAAAACTTTCATATGCATATTTTACCACACTTTGTGTCCTTGATGCCTGGCACGCACATGGCCAACAGAAAGTGAATGCTATCTGTCCACTGAGTGGACTCAGCTTATCCCTGAGCAATTTCATGCACTCTAGTATGTATATAACTCATAAAGAGTTTGCATTTATTTTGGTTTCTAATCTGTCAGTTTAGCTTTACAACTTAACAAACGTTCAGAGAAAGAAGTGCAAATTCACTACAAAAAGACTTAAAAATTAATTGATAAAATAAAATGTACATGGTATCTAAATCAAGTGTTAATTTTTTGTTTTGTTGTTGTTGTTTTGAGACAGGGTTTCTCTGTATTGTTTTGGAGGCTGTCCTAGAATTTGCTCTATAGACCAGGCTGGCCTTGAACTCACAGAGATCTGCCTGCCTCTGCCTCCTGAGTGCTGGGATTAGAGATGTGCACCACCAACGCCCGGCCAAGTGTTAATTTTTATATCTGTAATTAACACTCACTAAATATTATTCTGAGACTAATTTTGAAAGAGCAGTAATATGCTTCATTACCTCAAGAACATTATCTTATACATGTAAATTGACCATTCATTTCCATTTGCTCTATCTTTTCTTCTCTGTTATCAGGAATGACACTCAGAAGTTGCTAGCTTACTGCTATGGCTCAAACCTGCTCACCAGCCTCTTTATATACAATTCATGAGCAACCTTTTTCCATTTTCACCTTTTGAAGTCATTGAGAAAATAGAAAAAATATTTTGAGACACATAAAATTCAATCTTCAGTGTCCACACATTTTTATCACAGTACTAGTTATGCCCAGTCTTAATATCTGTGAGTTTCACATGAGCCACAAAGTTGAGCAGCTATACGCTATTTGGACTGAAAAGCTACAGTCAGTTTTTAATGACCCTTCACAGGAAACATTTGCTGATTTTTTAAGGTTTATTTATTTACAGGAGATGGCTTCAGCCTATTTGCTGATTCTTGACCTAGTTTCTCAGTAGTATCTGTGATGTCAAACATATCAAAAAGATTTTTAATTATTACCTCCTGTAATCTCAGTTTAAAATTGCATCAAAGAGATTATAATTATATATTCATGTTAATTAGAATAATTTAAGGGGCTTTGTTGTTGTTTCTCAGGACCAGTGACACAATAGTCCTTTCCCATAAGGAGCACCTGCCAGTCACTAAGATGGTGGTGACAGACACAGGCCGACTACATTCTGAAGCTGTTTATACCCTGGGGCCTCTGATTTGCCAGGGAGACAGTAAGTACTGGCAAGAAGAAGATTTCTTTTTATAGTAGCATATTCTGATTATTAAGAAGTAGACATGTTTGCTTATTCTGGTCACAGAACCAATGGCAATCTTAGGGCCAGGATAGAAAAGCATTGTGTTTGTCATCTTTCTACTGCTATGACCAAATAATTAACATAAATAACTTTAAAAGAGAAAATGTTTCTCTCAATTCATGGTTTTGGAAGATTTTTTTCGGCAGCCCTATTGCTTTGGGGCCTATGGGCAGAACATTTAGTAAAATAAAACTGCTGAACCAATCCGGCCAAGAAGCAAACTGAGAGAGGAAGGGGCCCAAGATTCTCTTCAAGGGTCCACCCCCAGAAATACAGCTTCTTTTCAGTGGCTCCACCTCCTAAAGGTTTCAGTGACACTAAAGGATGGCAACCAAGCCTTCAACATGAAGGCTGTTGGTAGCATCTAAGATCTTAAGCATACTAAGCAGAGTGAACACTAAAGAGTATCCAACTATACTATTGAGTATCCCCCAAATGAAATCAGGGAGATCTGTTTTCAGATTTGGGATCAAAATGTTTAGGACTTTGAGTTTTAAGGAGATAGTTCAGTTGGTAAAGTGTTGGCCTTGAAAGTATGAAGACCTGAGTTCATTTCCCAGAACCCACATAAAAAAGTAATATATGGTAGTACATAGTGCTTACAGTCTCTATGCTGGGGATGCAGAAACAGGAGAGATCACTGGGGCTCACTGACTAGCTGGCCTAGACTGATTGGTAAATTCTAGGCCAATGAGATATCTTGTCTCCAAACAACATGTGGCACCAAATAAATGAACCCAAAGCTATCTCCTGGCCTCCATACACATGCACACATGAGTTCACATACATCCTAACTCATCAATGCACTTGCCAAGTACATGAATGTGCATATATGAATGTGCTGCCTGTATTAGCTTATGAGGAGTGAGTTATTGTTAGATGATTTATTGTTTTCTTGCAGAGCAACCCTTTAGTGAATTAATTATTTTCTCAGTGTGCGAATGCTTGGCAAAGTTCATTTATCGTGCTTATACTCTTAGGACGGCTTGAGAAGTATAAGATCATTGATTTACACTCTTTTTTCCAAACCTCTGTAATACTTCTTCACCATTATGTAACAGTTTACTCTTTCATACTTTCACCTATGGTTGTATTCCACAGTCAAGGTTTCTCTTGGCTGCCTATGATGCATTGTTATGGTAATCCTGGAACTCTTCCAAGCCTATAAGGTTCTACTCATTACTTTAGTGCATAAACTGCCACTAAGCCACATACAAAACTCTTTTCTAGATAAATGTTTTTAAAATGTTTATTATCCACTAGGACTATGTCACTAGGATAGTCTAAGACTAGATTTATTTTTATTTGCTTCTGTATGTCAATATGTAGAAGATAGCAGAGAGAGTGTGCCCTAACCTGAGCACTACTGCATGTTCTTTCTGAGTGTACTAGATTGTACAATATATTCACCCCCTAATGTCCAGCAGTTTCTGTAACTAACTGAGAAGACACCTGACTAAGTCAAAACTGAATACAAAACTGAACACTCTGTGCCTTTCTGAGAGGAGACTGGCCTGGGAGCTGCTTACTACAAAATATCCTGGGCATTTTCCCATAGATCCTCATCTGGGATGTACACCTCCTGTGATCAAATAAATAGGTCACATCAACTGTGAGGCTTATTTATTGGACAACCAGGGTTCATATCTGGATGCTCATGTCACTTGCTGTGCTATGAGAATAATGTCCTTTAACTCTGTTGGCATCCATGAAGCTGTGATGCTACTGTTGTGAGAATTTTTCCACCTGGAAAGTTGTAAACTTCTCCTTCTTATAAAGTCCCATACAAACCAAAGTTTGATTCTACTGAAGTTGAGTTTATTGGCTTACTTACAGAGTGTGCCAATAAGGTCTACTCCCAACATAGATAATAAATTGCCTACAGCCCCATAGATAGAGATCCCCTTCAACTAACCTTTGCCTGCTTATATATTCTAGTACCACCAGAGCCCATGTATCAATGTGAAAATAAGGAAAAATTGCATAAGATGGTTGAGAAGAGTGGTTGGAATCTCAGGTGAAAGTCTAATAACTTTCCACACATCTTTCTTCTAATGAGAATGTCAACACTCTATAAATCAGTCTGTGATGGACTCTTGCAAGTAGGCACAACATAGTTCTGGCAGATGATAGGTACTTGGTGCAGGGGACTGAGCTTGGCAACACATAGTAATACTTCAATTTCAAAAAGCACAGGCTACACCATTTTATGTAGAAATTTTCTTTAGACAAAAGTGATTTTAAAACAGATATTGTGATTATCTTTAAGAAAAATGATTCCAGAATGCTTTCAATACATTTTTTGCCTTATACATTGGATTCTCTATATCTGAGAGCTTATACTGATGTCTGTCTTCTTTGCCCTCCAAACATTTCCTGTTTTCTTCAGTAGCTTTATGCTCTTTGTCTCTCTTCTCCACATTCAATGATGAAAATCTAAGATTTCCCACAATTACAGGGAATTGATATCAGCCATGTTAATTGTGATCCTAGATGTTTCTAATTTTTCTATTAAAGTCATCTCATTTGAGTCTCCATTTTGCTTTTTCCTTTAGAATCTCTTTTAACTTCTTAAAAAATACCTTATTCTTGGATATTTTACTAGCACATTATTTTTATTGTTTTCATTATAGGAAACTTGGGAATTTTCCTTCTTTAGATTATGTATTTTCAGAGCAGCACCTTGGAGGTTAATGTGCTGTAGACCATTTCTATCCTTCTCTCACTCACTCTAGATATCTTCCTCTTTCCCCTCCCTCCCCTCCTTCTTTCTCTTCACAATATGGACATGAAGCATACACCACTATTCAGGAGTCCTAAGTCTCTTCTGAAAGTCAAGGCAAGCTCTTGACTGTGAGCACCTTTAAAATCCCAAAAACAGAATCTTTTCATAACTTATTTTATCTATTGTTGTTGTATGTGTATCTATGACGTTTAGGAAGGCATACAAGCATCATGGTACATGTGTGAGGTCAGAGAACAACTTTATAGAATGGGCTCTCCATCTTTACATGGATTCTAGGGTTCAGATCATGAGGTTTGGGAGGTAATTACCCTTGCCCTTTGAACCATCTCTTTGTGAGCCATTCACAAGAATATTAATCCTCAAAATAGTCACTGTTTGAATGTTGGTGTTATAATGCTGTGATATGAAGGTTCAGAATTCTAGTTACAGGTTGGTTCTTAATGATTAATATTAATTCTTCTAGCAATAAGCATAATTCACAATTTTCATTTTGTCTTTTTCTTTTATTTTTAAACCAGAGTCATTTTGGAATTCAGCTTCCTTCAACACTGAGGCTTCATACCTTCATTTCCCAACTTTCCATGGAGAGCTCACTGCTGATGTGCGCTTCCTTTTTAAGACTACTGTTTCCTCTGGTGTGTTCATGGAGAATCTAGGAATCACAGACTTCATCAGATTAGAGTTGAGTGGTAAGCTCCTGACTACAGATGAGTTTTGGGGTACTTGCTATTTAGTAATGAAAACTAACAGAAAATTTTCAAAATTAACATTCTTATCTCATTTGAACTCCAAATTGCATTCATATTGAATATTAAAATTCTTTGCTTTTCATTTTGTAAGAAAAAGTCAAACTCTGAAGCATAAAGCATGTAATCAACCATAAAGCATGCAATAAATAAAAAATAAGCCAGAATGTTATACATTATTTGATTATAGTTGAGTAGTTAGACATTCAAACCAAACTCATCAAATTGCTTACTTACTAAATTATGAAATATTTAACAGAATTTTTTCATTCACTCAGAGTTCAATTTATCACTGCCAAAATTTTTATTCAGTGTTTTTAAAATTAAATGAAGTTTTGGAACATTTAAAAATAAAACTATGTACACATGTAAAATAAATTATATCTGCTATTCTAGTTATGGGCACATACCTCTATTCTGGACTAAGCAAGATCAAGTTAGGACTCAACAAGAATGACCAGTGAACTCCAACAAAAAAATAAGATAAAATTATATTTGTTTTGTTTGTTTTGCACTGAGATACAAATTTATTTTACTCTTCCTCCAACTCAGAACCACTTTTTCTCTCTTCATGGATGTCACTGTCTCCATTTATAATGAACATGTCATCATGTTTTATTTTTAAAGTCAGATATCTCCTCTGTGAATTAACTTGGACAATATGGATATATAATATCTCTAGCTCCCACAGAAGTGACCTTTTCTTTTGATGTTGGAAATGGACCTTGTGAACTCACTGTACAGTCACCTACTCCCTTTAATGACAACCGGTGGCATCATGTGAGGGCAGAAAGGAATATTAAAGGAGCATATCTTCAGGTAGATCAGCTCCCTCAGAAGACACAACCCACACCTACTGATGGGCATGTTCGACTGCAACTCAACAGCCAGCTCTTCATTGGTGAGTGCTAATGCATAATGCTGGAATTGGTGTTAACTGCAGAAATAGAGAAAACCATAGCTGTGAAAATGGTTTTATGTCATTGATTGATCAATTAATTGATGTGGTGTGGTGTGGTGTGTGTGTGTGTGTGTGTGTGTGTGTGTGTGTGTGTGTGTGTGTGTTCATTAGGGTGTAGATATATGTGTGGAGGCCAAAGGTCAATGTCAAGTGTCTTCTTTAGTTTCTCTGTACTTCATGTTTTGAAGCATGGTATCTTACTGAACCTGAACTTAACCAATTTGGCAATGTTATTTGGAAAATAGGTTCCAGGGAACTGTCCATTTCCACTCCCTAGTGTTAGGATTACTGGTACATGCTGTCACACTTAGTTGCTTTTTTATGAGAGTGCTAGGAATCAAATTTCATGTCCTAATGCTTGTGGAGCAAGCACTTTACCAACTGAGCCTTCTCCCCAACCCCAAAGTGCTTCTAATGAAAACTGAGTGCAGCTACTATGATTGGTATTATTTTCTAATGGTGCAATAGGTCCCAGAAACCTGTGCTGTTGCTTCTTATTTGACTTCACATTTTGTAAGTATTGTCAGCTTCTTATGGATAAGATAATGGACCCTCAGAAATGTATAATTTAGCTCCAAATATTTGATGTTCAAGTTAGAGAAGCTCATATACAGATGTTTGGCACTATAACTGCTACATTTATTAACATGCTTAGTATGATAATTACCAATAATTTGGGTGCAGATTTACCCATTGTTATCTTTAATAGATTTAGAAAACTTGTCACCCACCTCAAAACACATACATAAAAAATAATCCAATAAATGAATTTAACAGATAATTCTCAAAAGAAGAAATATTAATGGCTGACAAATATTGGAAGAAAGTGTTCATCATCTTTATCAATCAGGAAAATACAAACTAAAACTGCCATGAAAGTCCATCTTGCCCTAATCAGGATGACTATCATCAAGAAAATAAATTACAGTAAATGCTGGTGATAATGTTGGAAAAGGGGAACTCTATTCACTGCTTATGGGAATGTAAACTTGGGCAACTACTTACATAACAGTGTGAACTTTCCTCAATAATATAAAAATAGAACCATGATACAATCCAGATCTGCACTCCTGGGAATATACCCAAAGGATTCTAAATCAAATACTGCAGAAATACCTGTATATCAATGTTTATTGCTACACCATTCACAATAGCCATCCCAAGTGCCCTTCAATTGATTCATATATAAAGAAAATATGGTACTGAATACATTGAATGATAGTCCATTAAGAACAATTAAATCACTTCATTTACAGGAAAATGGATGGATCATCATGATGATTAGACCAATCCAACTAGCTTGTGTTTTCTTTCATATGTGGAAGCTAGACTTTGTACAAGTCTTTCATTGTCCCTATCTTGCATTTCCTATCTTTGCTCACCATCATCAGGCTCTTGTTTCCTGTGCTTATTATATACAATTGGGTTTTATTCCTTTTTTGTTGTAGTTCATTTGTTTAAACATCAGAGTTGTGGGTACAGTAACCCTTTTTTTTAGCTTGCTTATTTATTTAATGTTATTTTTCTCATAATGGAAACTGTATTTTTCTATGTTGCTTTTCAGACTACTCCAGTTTTAGAAACCAAGCAAATTAAGGTCATGACCCTCATTTGTTTACATCTAATGAATCTTAAAACAAAGACACAATCTAACTAGGAACTTATTACTAAGTCATAAATAACCACACATCCTGATTTACAGAGGATATGTACAATTTACAGGTACTAATTACTAATGATAAATTCAAGTGTGTGTGTGTGTGTGTGTGTGTGTGTGTGTTCATATTACAAGGAGGGTTAAAATACTATGGATCCATAAGACATAATTTTAAGCATTATAAGTTCCTAAGTTAGGATGAGATGATACTTCTTCAAAGGACTCAAAACCATCAAACTACCCAAAGGAAGGAAGACATCAGTGAATTATGTGTACTAGCTTTCCATTTCTGAAAGGAATGCCTAGCTAATCATCGTAAAAGGATAAGAGATGATGCAGAGCCACCAGGATGGCTCAAAAGGTAAAGGCACTTTCTACCACACCTAATGATCTGAGTTCTAGTCCCAAGTCCCACCTGGTAGAAGGAGAGCCCCACAAGTTATACTTTGAACTCCATATATGCACCATAGCTCATGCCACCCCAACCTACTTACAAAATAAATAAATAAAATGTAATAAACAAAATTTAAAAAGTGGTCCCTTCTAGACTTTGATCAATCCAGAACTAGGCAGGCCCATTGGAGTAAGGTTTTTGAGGTAGGTGGGTTTTGTACAACATAGTGGGAACAAATGGATGAAAAAGTGCTCCCTGGGTCAAAAAAGTGAGACTGTAGAACTAATCAAGACTCCACAATCTCAACTGCTATCATGCCTACAATGACATAGAAACTTCCTACCAGGCCCTACCTCTTTAGGTTAGCGCCACCGCCCAGCTGTGCCAAGTTGGAGGCCAAGCATCTTAGGTGCAGTACTTTGTAGAGTCCAGCAGAGGGATTGTTGCTCTTACAATCACACATGAAGTCATTTGATGTTTAGATTGTGGGTCCCTGCCATACATCAACTTGTAACATGAGTTCTAATTGATCTTAATAATTAAAGCTTGTGTTACACTGACTGTATCAGAGTCTCTGGAGGGGAGCTCTATAATCTGCAGCTCACAGAATAATATAACACCATAACATCACTTACTATAATGTTTACCCAGATAGTATTGAAAGCCTAAAACAGATTTTTAGCATTCATGTTTGACATGATAAACCATCTGTGTATGAGGTGTTCAGTTTATGTCTAACACTGTATCCTTGGAGACAGGTGGATGGAGTAAGGCACAGATTGGATAAGTTAGCACAGTTTCCTCCAGCTTTCCTGGCTTTGCATCCTAGTATCTTCTTGTGGTTTGACAGCTTACCCAAGTGAGAAATTAACAGAATATATTGACATTATCGTGAAGAATTTGAAAGATCACATGTAACCATTCTAATGTGTATCGCTGCTCATAAACACCAGTAAAATGATGTTTATGTGGCTTATATTTTGGGAGGCTAAAGAATATTTTATAACAAACATTCACCAATGTCAATATTTTTATAAGCTGAATGTAAATTTTCACCATTTTCTATGCAAAGAATGCTTCTGACAAATTTCAATTTTTTTTCTTGCCTCTTTCTATAAGACCTGTAAAATACCAAGGAACACATTTGTATTTGCAGTGTTTCCCTTATAGGGGGGACAGCCAGCAGGCAGAGGGGCTTCCTGGGCTGTATCCGGTCTCTGCAGCTGAATGGAATGGTGTTGGACCTAGAAGGAAGGGCCACAATGACACCAGGAGTGGAGCCAGGATGCTTGGGCCACTGCAGCAGCTATGGACACCTGTGTCGCAATGGTGGGAAATGTCAAGAGAAACACAATGGAATTACTTGTGATTGTGCCTTCTCTGCCTACGATGGGCCACTGTGCTCACGTGGTAAGTATGTCAAGATATAATTCGTGGAGATTTGGGACGCTTCTAGTATCGGGCCTTATAAAGAAAGCATAAGATGATGCAGTTGTTTACCTTAGAATCTCATTACATTCTCTATTAAATTTGGAAGGTTTATGAATATCTTTGGGGAGCTAAAGCTGTTCCATAGATCAACCTTCTCTGGGTTCCCTTTTTTGGAAGCCCTTAGTTCTACTCCTGTCTTGTGCACAGTGCTAATGTTCTCAGAACAATCTGGTTTCCAGAGTTCTGCCCTCAAATTGTTCTGGCTTTCAAACCATCTAAGCATCATTGTCATCTATCACTACACTCAAGGTAACATAAAAGGAATTTTTCCTTAAAAATATTTATTTTTAATTGTGTGTGTGTGTGTGTCCATACACATGAGTGCAGGGCTTGAAACAGCCAGAATAGGTAGTAGGATCCCTTGAAACTGCTTCATAATTAATACAGAGTCTTGTGTGTTATTTGGGGACTACAACGCAGCAGAGCCCAGGCAACTGGTGGGGAAAAACCAAAGTGGCTGGCAAGGAAAAGGCTTTACTCTACAAATGGTGATCAGGAGTGAGATCATGAATTTCCACGTAAAATGACAAAAGTATAAAAGGGAATTTAGAAACAAAAGAACAGAGAGAAGCACGGCTTTTTGGTAGCAGCATTTTTCTCAGGTGGACTCTGTTTTGCTAGTGGCAAGCAGAGACTCATATGGGTCGCTTAAGGGAGTCTTCCTGACTCAGCATAAAAAAAAAGCAAGGTTCTTTTAAGAAGCTCTGCTAACAATTGAAAGGTGTGTATGTACAGCTGGAAGTGGCAGTGACCACATCTCCAAGCCGGCAGCTTTTGCTGGATGTCAGCATAGACTGAAGCAGTGAGCTGGAATCACGCTTATGCCCACCATCTTGGAAAAACTGCAGTTTAAACAGCCTTGGTTTTAACAGATAAGACAGACACGTGGCCAAAAAAACATGAATATTTACAGTAAAGTCAGACTTGGATAAAGAAAAACCTCTAAAGGTTTACAGTGTGTTTAAAAATATACGTAGGATTGAGAGAGAGAAAGAAACGGCACAGTGGTAAATAAATAGAGAATCCGGCTGTGGTGGCACACGCTGGTAGGATTTGCTGCAGAGGCAGAGGCAGGCAGATTTCCAGAGAAACCCTGTCTCAGAGAAATAAATAAAGAAATAAAAGTAAAAGAAATAGAGTAATAATAATAGATAAATAAATAAGCCACATAAAGATGGAAAATACAAAGAAAGTTTGGATACTGTATGCTATTGTGTTTTTCAGTTTTTTGATTGCTAAAGAAGGAAAAATTGCCGGGCGGTGGTGGCGCACGTCTTTAATCCCAGCACTCGGGAGGCAGATTCAGAAAGCAAAGTCAGCCACAAGCCATAGAAATCAGACACACACCTTTAATGCCAGCAGACAGAAACTAGAAGGTGGTGGTACACACTTTTAATCCTAGGACTTGGGATTAAGAGGTAGATGGATCTCTGTGAGTCCAAGGCCACCCAGATCTACACAAATTTGATCCAGTCCTAAAGAAAAACAACTCATATAAAGAGATCTCAGCACCTGGGATCACATGCCTTTAATCCCAGCATTTGGGAGGTATATAAGACAGGAACAAGGTCTCAGTATCTAGCATTCATTCTCTAGCCAAATTGAAGATATGAAGACATTTAGTCTCAAGATTCTACATCCATGCAGAAGAGAGGCAGCATAACCAGCTGATTCAGCCTGAGGTAGTAGTAAGTGCTAGTGGCCCTCCACTTTGCTTTTCTAATCTTCAGCTTGGAGTTTGAACCCCAATATCTATCTCTGGGTCATTTATTTATTATATTACACTGTCTGTGACAGCAAGTCATATAATTCTGATATAGACATCAACACAGAGGATCATTCTCAATGCTATCTCATAACCTAAAATTACACTAGGCATGCTGTGGGTAAATGAGAAATGGCTCTCTAATGAATAAAGAGTGTTTTATACATAAATTCCCCATATCTTTTATTTTTATTTTATAAATGATAATAATTATAACTTTAAACATGTTTTATAACCTAGGACAGCCTCAAATTCCCTGTATACCCAAATATGACCTTGAGTTTTTCATCTTTCTGTCTCTACTTCCTAAATTCTGGGGACTGAACTAGAGACCTCACACATGTTAGCTAAGCACTCTATCAACTAAGTCATATACCTATCTCAAATATTCATTTTAACATTTTTATTTTGTTATATTTTGTTTATCTATTTTGTGGTGGTATGTTTGAATCCAGGACTTCCTGCATTCTAGCCAAGTACTCTACCACTAAGTTACATTCCAAGACCTTGCTGAATAATAAATTTGAGAAATATCTTTGGCATAGAAAAAATTTCTAGGACTTACATTAAAATGTTGGGCTAGCGCCGGGCGTTGGTGGCTCACGCCTTTAATCCCAGCACTCGGGAGGCAGAGGCAGGCGGATCTCTGTGAGTTTGAGACCAGCCTGGTCTACAATAGCTAGTTCCAGGACAGCCTCCAAAGCCACAGAGAAACCCTGCCTCGAAAAAGCAAAAATAAATAAGTAAATAAATAAAATAAAATGTTGGGCTAGAAGTTTGCTTCCATGTGAGTCAAAAAGAAAAGCTCCATTCCAAAGAGAAAAGGAGAGGAACGATTTCAGAAATTCATAGAGGTGGTAATGGGACAATTGGAGTGTGAAGAAAAGAAATGTGACACTGTGAAGAAGCAAGCCTACCCAAGCGTCAGCTGGGCAGCCTGGAACAAAAAGGCTCTGGCATTCCTAGGAAAGTTCTCAGTCCTCCAAAGCCTCAAATAGGAAGCTGCTTTTCTGAGACAGTGATTACTGTGGTGTGTAGTCAGCAGTAGAGGAGAATCCCTTTCTGTCACTCTGTAAAGGCAATGACAAGGAGCCACCTTAGGAGAGAATATATTCACAAGCCAGGGATCTTAAATTCAACCTGCCTCAACCCAAATGAGGCAGCCCTGGGAGGCAGGTCTGGACACTGACAAACTAAAAAGGGCTTATGGCAAGAGGACCAGATCAGGGAATGAGGAGATGGGAAAGCAGCCTAGCTCACAGCAGCAAGAGCATCAAGCTAGTTCTATTACACTAGCATTTATTACCTTGTTACCAAAATCAAATAGCGACATTTAGAAAACAGTAGAACAATTTCCTTGAAGAACATAAATGCAAAATTTCCTAATAAAATCTTGCAAACCAAACCTAAGAGCACATTCATAATATCATAAACCATGATGATACTGGCTTCATCCTGGGGTTGCTGGGGTGACTCAGTGCCTCTGATACTTGCTTCTCCATTCTAGATTTTTGATATATCAAGAATCATTACTTTTTTAAACGTCACTTCCTTAACATTTGAAAAGTGGGAAAATCAAAACAGGAAAACATTTCATTGCATTATTCGTCAAGATATTTACAGATTGGAGTCATTCTTTAAATATATTTCACTTGACATTTTTGTTGCTTTCATTGTGTTAACATAAAAAATACATGTTTTTCATTCTAGAGATTTCTGCGTATTTTGAAACTGGTTCCTCACTGACCTATAATTTTCAAGAACATTCCACCCTAAGTGAAAACACCAGTTCCCTGGCTTCTTCATTACATGGGGATGTCATACTGTCCAGAGAAACCATCACGCTGAGCTTCCGAACCACACGGACACCATGCTTATTGCTTTATGTGAGCTCTTTCTCTGAGGAATACCTTTCAGTTATCCTGGCCAACAATGGTGAATATCTTTTGAGGGAACTAAAATAATCAAACAAGTAACATAAAGCAAAGAAAATAATAAAAAACATAAAAACATTAACTAGAAAAATAGGGTTATAAGGTCTATTCTACCAAAAAAAAAAAAGTTACATGGCTTCCACTTCAGTATTTCAGGACTATCCACAATGGATGCCACACCTTAAGCTGCTGTTACCACCTAAGGGTAATTGGGTCTGGTTCATTTTCTCCAGGAAATCAATCATAGTCAAAGCAAACAAATAAATTTTAATAAAAGTGGAAGCTGATGCACAGCAAAGCATGCAAAGACATTCTCACCACAAGTGAGGAGGAAGTCCAGAGATTGGAATTCCAAATTTTGTATGGCAAAGCCAAATTTTATGTCTTTGGGAAGAGGATAAATTCCCTTTCCCCTCAGAATTGGACAGTTTGAACTATCAAAAGAAATTGAATAATCCAGAAAAAAAAGAGAGTTAATTGGTTCACACCATGAGCCCCCTTGTGGGAGATTTGAAAGTTTCACCAAACAGTTCCCTCCACTCACCAAGTCTTTCTTTTTACAGAGGGAAAGAACCAGGAAGTCAGCCATCTTAAGTGTTTAAGAGAAAAGTGCATTAATCTACCTAATCTTTTCACTGTCTACCAAGTCCCTCGTTACCATTCCAAATTAAATTAAGTAGCTTTTATAGTTGTATAGATTTGGTATGAAATACTTATTGAAAAGATCTCTTTAATACCACAAAAAGTTTGTTTTATAGTTCATTATGAAATAAGATATTGGATGTTGGGCATTATCTTCAGCTTACTCTAGGTAAATTAGAGAGTCATTAATGTAGGTGATACAATAAAACTATATAAAAGCTAATCCCTATAAACAATCTACAACGGCAATAGTTCTTTATCTCATTAGTGGTGGAGAAGCCAGTTAGAGCAAATGGCAGTCCTTCTACTAGTGGCAACTGGGGCAGTCCTAGTTTCCACACTTGGATTATAACCCAGAGTGCAAGTCTGTTAAATCTAAAATATGTAATTTCTATACAGACCAAGGCTTTATGAAGGTTGTAGGATATGGACAGTTAAGGTGAGTCTATGTAGGATAGACATACGTGTCTTCTAACAAACTCCTTTCTCTGTGTTTTAACCATTTAAAAGAATTTTAGAAAAATACGGTTTATAGAGTCATTTTAAATGAAATACATTTTATTAAAGTCATTGTAATAAAATTATTGCAGTTAAACATAGGACTGTATAGCACATATTTCTGTAATTTCTACAAACAAATGTCATAGTCATGATTTAGATTTCAGTCCCGAATTTTCATATGTGTGATTTAACCCTTTGTTTAAGAAATTTTTGGAAATTGCATCTGGCTTTCACCTTAAAATGTGGCATATCTTGACTCACAGACAGCCCTGAAGTAATCACTACTGCAAGAACACTAATTCTTAGGTGCTTTCAAGTCAATGCTAAATACATCTAAAAATGTACTTAGTGAATAATCCTGGCAGTACGCTAGAATTTACACCAAGGGCTCTCGAAACTGTCATTATAATTCAAAATGTCATTATTTTCCTCTTTAGGAAGTTTGCAAGTGAGGTACAAGCTAGACAGACATCAGAATGCAGATGTTTTTTACTTTGACCTTAGAAACTTAGCAGATGGACACTTTCACCAGCTGGCGATCCACAGAGAAGAAGCAGTCGTCTCTGTAGAGGTAACAGCCCCAAAGAAACATAACCACAAGTAGGCTATAAGAATGAATAATTAAAGGTCAAGAAATCAATAATGAACATTACTAAAAAGCAATCTATTCCACCTTTTCCATAAGTGAAGGATGGAAAGCCAAAGGTAGCCAAGATGCGGGAGGTTGGGAAAAGATGTTTATTTTGTCTTGTTTGTTTGCCAACAACTCTTCCAAAGTGATTACACTGTAGCCCTTTGAAATGTCAAACTGTCCTTAGTTGTTTCACTTTATTCAGTAAGGAAATGTATAGTTTATCATGGTAAATACGGGTAGAATTTGTCCATTACTGTTTCAATGGTAACACATCCTTGTGTGATTATAAGAGAATGTATACTGTACCAAATTAAACATGAGAAACTTAAAAAATGAGGATAAATGAGGAAAGGGAGTAAGCTAATTTTCTCTGCCATGTGAAGGAAAATATATTTTAAGTCTATTTATAAAACTCTGTTTTTTAACAGTATATGCCATTTTTCCTCCAGGGAATGAGTTTTGAAGTTTAAAGCAACTGAGTCTGTGGCTAGAAAGATGGCTTATCAGTTAAGAGCACACACTGCTCTTGGAGAGGACCCGAGTTTCATTCTCAGTACTTTTGCCAGGAAGTTCATAACTGCCTGTAACTCTAACTCCAGATGATCTAATATCCTCTTCTGGCCTCCACAGGCACTGAACTCTCTCTCTCTCTCTCTCTCTCTCTCTCTCTCTCTCTCTCTCTCTCTCTCTCTCTCTCTCTCTCTCTCTCTCTCTCTCTCTGCACACACACACCACATAAATAAAAATAAAATAAATTAAAAATAAAGCAACCAATTCTATCCTTTTGTGATTCTGCCACTTAGGATCCATTATGAGGAAAAGTAGAGTAGGGGTAGGGCCAGAGGCCAGGAGGGTGTACAAGCTTTACAAGATAGCCTCCCACTCAATATCCTGTTTAAAGGTGATTTTTAAAGCTTCCTTGCAGCAGTTACAAGTAAGTGACTTATTGTTTGTCTCCCCCTCCCCTCTCTCATTTGCTTCCTGTGGGCATATCTTCTAGGTTAACCAGAGTGCAAAGAGACAAGTCATTTTGTCCTCAGGGACTGAATTCAATGCTGTCAAATCGCTTATATTGGGAAAGATTTTAGGTAAGTGGAAGGCAGAGCTTCCCCTGGGAAAAAAACTTACATCATAAGTGTCATGTCACAGGCTCTGGAAGCATTCGTTATGCTGCAAGAAGCTCTTTGTCTTGTTTCAATAATTATTTCACAGTGAGTGGCAATCAAGGTACAGATTGTACTCATGTTGAGTGCATGTACAATCACGAGAAAGTGCTGTCTGGCAGATCGACAGAGTCATCCCTTGAAAGAGCCTCACTTAACAGTCACAGTTATGCATAATGAGTCTGCTCTTCCTCTGACTCTTCCTGAAAAGTGAAAACACCAGAGCAGTTTCAGCACCAACCCCAGGGACTTCTCATCAAGTAATAAAAGTACCTGTGAGCTGAACGAAAGGAAGAAACGCTCAATTTTCCCAGCAGGTGGAAACAGAATGTACTCCACCCAAATCTGCTTGTTCAGATGTCTGTCTTGGATGATTTTAAACTACATTCATAACTGTCTGTTTTATGGGAGGAAGACATAGTATTTGGTTATGGTACTGAGAGGGTAACATTTTAAGCCCCAGCTTAGCTTTAAATGTGATATCTTGGTAGCCAAGGAAATGAATCTTTCTATAAAGAAAAACACCTATTTTTAACTGAACATGGTGGCACATATCTATAATCCCAGCATTATAACAGCACCCATGTCCAGCTGTTCACAGTTGCCCGTAATTCCAGCTCTAGGCGATCCATCATCTTCTTCTGGCTTCCATAATGTCCTGGCTAGTTTTATGTCACCTTTACACAAACTGGAGTTATCTGGGAAGACGAACCTCAGTGGAGAAGATGCTTCCATCAGATGGCCTGTGGGCAAGTCTGTGGGGGCACTTTCTGGATTCTTAATTGATAAAGAAGTGCCCGCCCACTGGAGGCAGTGCTACCCCTGGGTAAAGGGTCCTTAGCAATAGAAGAAAACAGACTGGGCAAGACTAGAGGAACAAGTCAGTATGCAGCACCCCTCCAGTTCTTGCCTCCAGACACCTGCCTTAAGTTCCTGCACCAACTCCTATAATGGGTTGTGATGTGAAAGCATAAAATTAAATAAATCTTTGCCTCCTTAAGTTGTTTTTGGTCACGGTGTTTATCAAAGCAATAAAAACCCTAAGACACACAGGAGCACTTGCATTCACACATACACAAATAACAAAATTCATCTTTAAAAATTTAGGTTCAAACTCCAGGTATGGTAGTACATGCCTATAATTTCAGAGCTTGAAAGGCAGAGGCAGGAGGATTACAAGTTTGAGGCCATCCTGCTTGTGTAATGAGACCCAAAACAGAAACAAACAAAGCTTTTGAACTCAAATTAAGCAAAGAAGCATATAACCTGTTGTAAATGACTCACTCCCCCTAAATTATATTCACCTTTTCTACTTTGTCTATACTTTGAAATAGAAGTAATAATCAAAATCACAATAAAGCATTTCATATATTAGACATCTATTTTAGGATGAGTTCTGCTCTAAGCCTTTTGCTACTTCCAAATCACTTAATAATTATATGATTATTTTTTATACTAAAACTTTTTTTAGGTTTTTTGAGACAGGGTTTCTGTGTATTGTTTTGGAGGCTGTCCTGGAACTCGCTCTGTAGACCAGGCTAGCCTCGAACTCACAGAGATCCACCTGCCTCTGCCTCCCGAGTGCTGGGATTAAAGACATGTGCCACCAATGCCTGGTTTATACTAAAACTTATAGTTAAAAGAATTTTTGCTCCTTTAATTTACAATAAGATAGACCAACAAGTTGAGTAGGGAACTAATAATATTCCAAAGAAATTTACCCAGATTGCTCAGGGGTAAATCATCAACATTGATTCTCACAGTCTATGGAATTCTTATTCATTTGTTGGAAAATATTTGGTGAACACACACTTTGTTAGGCACCAAACAAACTTAGCAAATAGGAGGGACTCTTCACACATTCTCCCTAAACTTAAGAATTAATAGGGAGCATGAGTTGATAAGTGAGCAATTATAACAAAATATTTATCGTACTCAATATCATTTTATCATGCTTTAGAAAATAGGTCACGATTAACTATAATTAACATGCTTTCTCTATAAAGACCATTCAGGTTGATCATCTCAACATGAATTCACTTTTAAACCATTTAAGTGTAAATTTCACTTTCATATTCTCTACCTAACTAAAATTTAATGAGATGGAGTATTAAAGAATGTGAACATTTAGCAGGATGTAGTGGCACACATCTGTAATTCTGACACAGGAGGCTGAAGTAGGAGAATTGTGAGCTTGAAACCAACCTTGGCTATATTAATGAGTTCAAGACCATCTTGGGATACATATAAAGACCAGGTCTCAAAAAAAACCCACAAATAAGTGAAGAGCATGAATACTCAAAGATACATGAGACATTATTGTCTCCATTTTGTTATTATTGGTATTACCATTGTTGCTTTCTTCTTTTTAAAACCACTGTCTTCTTGCCTTAATTAATTTTATGTATATGGCTGTTGTGCCTGAATGTACGTTTGTAAATCATGTGTCTCTGGTGCCCCCGGGATATCAGAATAGGTGTTGCAGATGGTTGCAAGCCACTGTGTGGGTGCTGGAAGGGAACCTGAGCCCTCTACAAGAGCAGGCAGTACTCTTAACTGCTGGGGCCCTAAACTGCAATCTTTAAAAAGACATAAACCAAAACAGAATAGAAATCTCAGAATCTAAAGATGTATCTTTTTTGTCTTTCACCAGAAAATAGCGCAGTAGCTTTTACATATATATTATAACTACAGGCATGTGGGAATGCCAAACAGTGTTGGTCATTAAATGTTTTTAGATCTGGGTATGATGGTGTACATCTTTAATCTCAGCATTTGCTGAGCAGAGAACAAGCAGATCTCTATGAATTCAACACCAGCCTGGTCTATATAGTGACTTCAGGCCAGTCAGAGTCACAGATGCAATCTCAAAAACAACAAAAAAATGTATAGAAATGATCTTTTGAATTCCATAAAGAATGTCATACAAGACTATAGCTTTAACAATTTAAGTTACTTGATCTATGCATTTTATGTCACCTTTCTCTATAAAGCACTCTCTTTATTTAGAAAAGATGCTGTATGATAACCCAGGGTTTGACTTTTATCTTTTACAAGTTATGTCAGCCTGTAATTGACTTGATTTATGGATTCTGGCAAGTTTCATAAGCCTCCTGAGCCAGAGAGGAAGGTCTCCACTACTCATGCCACATGAGCCTCAAAAGCACCAGTTATTTCCAGGGTTTTCTATAACTCTTTGGGGGAAATGGCAGAATTGCAGATCAATGAATGCTTTGTGGGTTTGCATTGCTGCCGAATAACATGGAGCATGGGGAATCCATGGATTTTTTTTTCTGTAGAAAGAGTAAGGAAGACTGTTCTTCATCCTAAAAGGAAAGAGGAACTTACCACTTCAATATTGTTTGTTTCAAACACAAACTGGAGAAATAACCTAGGTGAAGTGCTGTCCAGCCTTGTGTTTCTTGGTTTACCTGATAAAACTTGCAGAGACACTCAGACATAGTACACCCTTCCTATGTTGCAGAGTAAATCCACATAAAGAATCTTTAAAATTCAGTGAGTTATGAGATTTTACATTTTTAAAGGAAGATGAAATGTTAAATATATGAGTTAACCCTTCTTTAATTCATCTTAAAAATAAGTCAACTAGACTAAATTATTTGTAGGCATTCCTTTAATGGAAAACTGAGACTTTTCCAAAGTAAATCACTAACTGGGAGTCAGTGAGGATCATTTGTTGTTTGAGATCTTCAAACTCTTGAAATGTAGCCGGTGCCATTGAGAGACTGAAATTTTAATTTTACTTCATATTAATTGGTTTGAATCATAATGAATTTATGTGTCTAACTTATTGCACCATGTATAAGACTTCCCATTTTCTTACTTCTCTAGTCATTTATTTTAGTTCAATTAAGTGGTACCTTGTGAGAACCTATTCAACATGACAGTGCTCTGGGAAGACAGCCCTACCTCAAATACATTTCATCTCAAGTGCTGGTCTTTCAAATTCAATGACTATAGATCTATTTCTCTGTCATGAAGTCTATACTTACCCTAAGAATGTCAACAGCAAACATCACAAGGTATTTATGCAAAGGCGGATTTATTCAAGAACATGTTTAAAAGTAGAAAACAGGCACTTGAAGTGATCTAGATGCAAGATCACAAGTAGAGAAAGAGGAGCAGAGAGGCTAGGAATGAGTGCTTTTTTGTTATAGAGATCATCAGCTAAAAAGAGGGTAAATGAAAGGTTTGAACAATGTAACTTTTTCATAGCAATTGGGAAGTAGAAGTCATGTGAATGTCCTACAGTAAGAATTGTTTAATAAAATATGTATCCTACTGATAAATGATTTCTCACAGTGCTAGTTCTAAACCCAGACTACATCAGTCACTCCTGGTCTCCTTCCTCAGCCATCCTGTGATTGATTGCCTGATTTATTCAGGGTAGGCGAAGAATTTCTTCTCTTTTTGATTTGCCTACTTAAAATTTGCCATATTGAGGATATGGGAAAGATCACTCTTGCTTCACCATCTTCAAAGTAAATTGTTGTTTAACATGAACATTCATATTTATAAGAAAATACTCTACTAAAAGTGTATTATTTTCCCCTAAAATTTGTGTAAAGTCATCTTGGATCACATCAGTGATAGATGTCACTACACTAAATGTGAATAAATTAAATTGCTATAGCAGAACATAGTCAAATGCTCTTGCAATGTTGAAAAAGAAATGGTATACCAAGAACTAACAAGCAAAAGCTAATGCACTCAAGAAATACCAGACAGCTTAGATTAGAGCAAGGGGGTAAGCCACGATGGAACATTCTCTGGTGATAAAAATTTACATTTAGAGGCTAAAGAAATGGTTCAGCGGTTGAGAGTATGCACTGCTTTTGTAGAAGACCTGAGTTCAGTTACCTGCACCTGTTTCTGGTGCTCACAAACACCTATAACTACAGATCCAGTGCATGTGATGTCCTCTTCTGGCTTCTGTAGGCACTTGCAGGTGCACACACACACACACACACACACACACACACACACACAATTTTTTTAATCTTTAAAAAGGTACAATTTCTGCCCACCCAAGCAAAAAGGCATGGCTCAGAGCTGTAGCAACATCCACCTCATCTATGAACTTCCAGAGTACATGAAGGATCTAGGCCTACAGATCCAAAACTGCAGGATCTCAATGACACAGAATAACAACAGGATATCCAAGAGGAGTCCCAGTGAGGGCCCATTATCGATAGTTCATCAGAAGCCAGAAGCCTTGAGCCAGACCAATTACTCACAGGGAGATGAGTGGAATCGGGATGCATAATGTGAAATCCACAAAGAATCAATACAAAGTTTTTTAAAGATACAATTCATTTAAAAACACAATGTAATAATCAGTATATATCATTCAAATAGTAATTAATTATCTGGTCATGGCGGTATGTGCCTTTAAAACTTTCATTTGAGACAAAGAGGCAGATGGATCTCTGTGAGTTGAAGACCAACCTACTCCACAAAGTGAGTTACAGGACAGTAAGAGCTACATAGTGAGACCTTGACTCAAACAAAAACAACTAAATAAGAAAAGCAAAAAGAGCCAGGCAGTGGTGCACTTGGAAGGCAGAGACAGCAGATCTCTGTGAGTTCGAGGCCAGCCTAGTCTACAAAGTCAGTTCCAGGACAGCTAGTACTGTTACATAGAGAAACCCTATTTCTCAAAGCACCAGAAGGAAGGGAGGGAGGAAGGGATGGGGGAAGGAGGGAGGGAGGGAGAGAGAGAGGGGGGGAGGAAGAGAAAAAAGAAGAAAAAAGAAAAAACAATGAACTAGAATTTCCAGAACTGTGTCTTCATTTCCTGGAGTCACTTTACTGCAAATTCTTGAATCATTGGCTGTGAGTTCCATTAAAAGGGTATTTTAACAGAGTGTTACAACCTCTTTCCCCAAGCCCCACATGGTAGAAGGAGAGAGTTGATGCCTGAAAGCTGTTCTCTGATTTCCACATCATGTACACACCACACACAAATAAACAAATAAAATGTAAAATTTTTTAATTAGTTGTTTTAATGATCTGATTTGGAAATTAAATTAAGATTAATTAATTTCAAACTTGGCATGGTCATGCACATCTATAATCCACCGCAGTGCACATGCAAACCAAAGTTCAAGGTCATCCCATTACGGAATTTTATTACAAAGTCAACTTTGCCTCTGGAAGCCACCATGGTTAAAAAAGCTTCTGGTGGTAGGCATGGCCACTCAACAGAAGGTCGTGCTTTCCAGGAGCTTGTGACAAGGAAGGCACTCCAGTCCTGCCTCTGGTCCTGACCAAGTCCCTCTCTCCTGCCCGCAGAACCCCTGGACGCTGACCCTGACACAAGACAGGCAGCGGCTCAGGGCTTTACCGGCTGCCTTTCTTCTGTGCGATTTGGCCATGAAGTCCCACTGAAGGCTGCGCTGCACCAGGGTCAAGCCAGTGTCACCATTCACGGCCGAGTGGCTGCTGGGGCGCAGTGTGCAGAGAGTCCTGGCTCAGCAGTGCAGGAACAGACTCCAGGGCCCTCTGTGGGTGCAGGTGTGTGTGATTCTCTTCTCTCCCTGGCCCATCCCACCATTACACACACACACACACACACACACACACATGCACACACACGAGAGACAGAGAGAGAAATAGTGAGAGAAAGAGAGACAGAGAGAGAGAGAGAGAGAGAGAGAGAGAGAGAGAGAGAGAGAGAGAGAGAGAGAGAGAGAGAGAGAGAAACCTTCTACTCCTGACAGGGTATACAAGCACTCTGCTTCTCTCCCCTTTTCTTTTGCAGGTCCTTCTGGATCAATAGAAGACAGACAGCCCCTTCCTAACACAGACAGGAGTGATGCTGGGGTCATCGGAGGTAAAGACCTAAAAGCCAATCTGGTCCTTGTATTATTATCACTTTGACAATGAGTTATATAGTACAACAGGTTAAAAAAGCTGTGTTTGAGTGTGTTGGTTTTTCTGAGTTACTGTTTATGAATTGCCTTCTCTAGAGACTCTGAGTGTAATATTGGGGATTCTGAAAGTACAGTTACAAAATAGGCAAGTTCTTAATTAAAAAAACAACTGTACTGACAGTGCTATCAACAGTTAAGCCATCTGTACCATGGCTTGTGCTTTGGCACATATGATGCCTGTGGAGTATAACCTAAGGCTAATGCTGGTAGTCCCAAGGACTCCCAATCTGTTACCCTTACTTAACTGCTGGTTCAATGTGTGCCTAGGGCTGAGAGTCACTGCGACCTCTTGGATTTCAGGATTTTGGAACTTTTATACCTGACTCTCAAATATCCACATAAACTTAATAAATACCATGTAATAGTTTTTGGTAATAAAGATTAATTGTCCATAGTTATACTGCTATTTCAAAAGTATAGCATCATAGAAGGTATTTAAAACAATTCCATGGACTGGTGAAATGTCTCAAGAGACAAAGCATTTGCCATGTAGACATGAGGATCTGCGTTCCCATTTCCAGAGCCTACATAACAGTCAGAACCTACCTATAGGCACAGTGGCGTGTGTCTACAACATGTCTTTATACTCTTAAAAGAAGCTCAAGGGTGGAAAAAAGAAGAATCCAGAAGACCACGGGACAGCTAGCCTGACATACATAGCAGTGAACAATGAGAAACTCTGTCTCCAAAAAGGCAGAAGATGAAAGCTGACACTTACAGTTGTCTTTTGAACTCTACATGTAACTGCATAATTTCATCACACACACACACACACACACACACACACCATCAGCAAAATATACCTATTTAATTAGACTAACAGTAACATTTACAATACTTTTAGTGTTAAGCACTAGATACTTTTTAAATAATTTAAAACTTTCATCCAGTTTACTGATGGGTACACATGGTCTTAGAAACTTGTGCATGTTTCCGTTTTTAAATCCAAAAGCATTTAGATCGTGCTTAGGGAAGAATACAGCAGGTCTATCCCAAAGTAGTAATAACTGAAAATGACATCAAATTGTTACAAAATCACATCACCTTAAAATCCCTGAGTTTGGGAGATCCAACATATGACACAGTGTTGACTCTTGCTTTAACGTAACCTTCTGAACAGTGCTATCAGCCAAGCCTCCAGTTGGGGCTCAGCATTCTGATTTGTGTTCTTCTTTTTTCTTCTCCAGGAATAACAGCAGTTGTGATATTTATTTTGCTGTGTGTGTCTGCCATAACCATACGTGTTCATCGACAGAGAAAGTTACAACAAAAAAATGAGTCATCAGTCTCAAAAACTGAAGAGTGCTAGGACCGCTCTCAGAAGTGAAGTATGAGTTGAAACAGAAGCAGTGTCCTGCTAGACACTGTGGCTGACCTGCCTTTTGTGAGTCCCATTCCTCCCATCCCAGTGTGGGCCCAGCGCCAGCTTCCAGAGGACTAACAGTCTCAGCATCTCCAGAAGGCCGCCTTTTTCCTCACCAAAACTTTCCCTTCCAGAAATTTACTAGAAAGGATATGGGGTTGTTAATCATAGTGGAGTTGTTCCTCCAGGTGGAATGCTCTTTTCTGAAAAGGGCTTCATTTTGTATAACAGTTACAAATTTTAGCTGAGAAACCAAGTGACCATTAAGCTATGATCCTGCTTAGAAAACTGAGACAGAAGTTCCATTCATTCAAAGTAAAACAGTTGCTTGGTTTGTTTTTGTTTTGTTGTTGTTACTTGAAAGCTTATCTGGGATCCCTTTTTTGTTCCTCTGAAAACATGTATAAAATAGATCTATTTAGCCTACTTCTCCATGATCCTGGAATACAGGGTCAAGTGCCCTGTAAGAGAAAAAAAATTAACAGCAACTTTCCTGTCTATTGGCCAATACAAAGAGAGGCCTGGAAATATTTTTGGTGCATTGCTTTTTTCTAGGTAACCAACCATTTTGAATATTTTGATGAATTTCAAAGTTTAAATTGGTATGAAATGTTATGAAATTTTAATATTGGATTTTGTAATTGGAAAGAAAATTAATGGGTAACAATAAACATAGTGAATATCCACTGAGAGAAGCTGCTGTCTTATTTGTAATTATAGGTTTTTATAAATTATGGTTATGTTTTAAATTTATAGCCATATATACTGTTTCTTATTCAACAACACTAAACTCAAACATAACTCCCAAATACTGAAAGATTCTGTCTTTCTGTATTTCTATTTTCTAAAAGTTGTTACTGATATGCTTTGAATTTCTATAACTATACTGTATAAATAGAGAATATCTTTTCAATTTATTAGACGAGTTAGCTCCAGCTGAAGAGCCCCGATTCCTTTTGGAATTGCTTTGGGCATAAATACTGTATATTATTCTCTCTGTCCAGTTGTTTTTGCAGTATAAAATGAAGGGTGCTAACTCCAAAGAAAGACAGCACTTGCATGATCTGCATTAAACTTACTACTCTACTCACAAGTTTATGATCACAGGACCAAGTTCTCATAGATTACTGCAAATTGAAAATGTGCTCCTAACTGAAGTATGTCTCACTAGGGATTCTACACACACTAAGAGCAGAAGATGAAATTAAATTCATGGAGACAGTTTCAGGAACTAATAGTAAGGCAGTGTCATCTGGTAATTAAATAGACTACCATTTGGTTTATGCCCATTATAGTAAAAACAATGATGCTATATTCACCAGATTCCAGATACCAACTACCTGCTAAGGACTAATTAGGTTATACAGCTCATCCACATCTGGGAAAGTTGGAAATATTCCATTCAACATTGCCTCTATTAACTAACTTTCTGTCTCGTTTGTGTTATTTTTAAAAGGGTGAATATATCACCTTTATCTTAATGCTAGCATTCTCACCTCTGTTGATGTTTATATGGGGGATGGTTTTCTATTTATACTGTATTATTGCATATATGCGTGTGTACATATGGTAATATGTGAAAGACACAACTTCATGAATAATACATATTTCTGTGGGTTTTTTCTCAAAAGCCCTGTTAGAATAGAGACATAGTCTACAAAAATATAGTTACATTTTATTAGCCAATATAGGTACCATGTAGTCACTACAACATTTACAGACACATCTATATTCCATTGAAAATTTGAGAAACTAGAATTTCACAGGGTTTCAGAAGATGAAATTCCATGTCTACTGTTCCATATGTTTGGCAAGACAGAAAAAATAAAAGTATCAAATAGCACAAACATGTCATCTATCAACAGTTTTCCAAGGTGACTTTTTATTAGAAAATAAATTCATTTTTGAAAGAAAATAGGGAAAGTATTTTAGGGGAAGTTGTGTAAAATAACAACTTTTGAAATAAAATAAAATTATTTTAAGAAAAGTTGTATAAGACAAATTACAAGGTGATTTTTTTCCCTAATTTGCACAAATATTTTCAGGTAAGTGCATTCTGTACTTGATTGTATGTCAACTGTTAAGATATTTTTACCTATTTATGATCTGATATTTATCAACTTGTAAAGTTTTCATTTTAAGTTATTAAGCATACCATGAAAGAAGGACAAATATTACTGACTGCTAGACCAAAACTATGTGAATGTACTATTTAAAGATTTGTCAGAGAACAAGTATTCTAAAATAAGCTAACTAAAGTCTTATCTTCAGTACTTTTGCTGTTGTAATTAAAACAATACTAAACATTCTTTGGCTATATAGATGTTAGTTGCAAATCACAGCCTTCTGTTGTATAAAACTAAAAGCAGTTTCCCAAAAATTTTGTTCTTGAAGAAGAAAATAAACACTTCATATTGTAATATCATTGATATGCCTTCCCAGTGAGGAATCACTCCACCCACTTAAAAATTAATAAAGGAAAGAAATGTTTAATATAACTCATGTCTAACTCTAACTAATGCCCAAAAGGGAGCCAGTAACGAATAGATATTTTATTAGCTTATATACACCTTAGGCTTATGTATTTTATACACACTGTCATCCTTAAATATATTTTAGGTCCCAGCCCCAGGTTACACTTTGAACAATTTAAACAAACAGGAGACTTCGAGTCTGACCACTTGGGAAGATGGTAGATTTACACAGCAAAGATACTGCCAGAATTATTTACGTGTTCTTCTTTTCTAACAGCTATTTCCCAGGTTCATCTTGCCCACCTGACAACATTATGTTTCTCCTACAATGTACTTAATGGCAGACCAGGATATAATGATAGTGGTAACCCTGAACTTCCCCCCTTGAGCTGCCCCTTAGAAGCATGTTCTTTGATTGGCAGGGAGGGGATGATAAGAGCCTTAATGGCCTGTTATAAATCAGGGTTGCCTCCTTTTGTTGTGGAAGTGAAGCCTAAGTGGAGGTCAATCTTGATGAATAAACATTAACAGAAACTTCCCAGTCATCCTTTATAGTACAAACTTCTTACCTACAGTTTCTAAGAAGTCTAGTTAGTACAATATGTATCATCCGGTCATGTGGAGGCAGTACTCCTTTAGCTAAATTCTTATTTATATAACTTAGTGTTTCCTAACCAAGTTTATCAGCAAGTCATTTATAGCATCAGTTTTTACTATTTCAACTTTCTCCTGCATCAGAAGCACACAAACATTTCGCTCAGAAACCATCAGCACGGTGATCATCACTAGATGGCATTTCCCCACTGGGGAGATGGTTTTGAAAAAATGTAAAAGCTGTGACTTCTTGAAAATGATCAAAAGTATTTTTTACCAGTAACAAAAGGAATTCATTTGGAAAGATAATCAGTACTCTGCTCACAAATGCATGACCCGAGGGGTTTGCTAATATATCTACCTTCCCTTCCCCTTCTATGAACAACATAGAACCTTAGGGCATGGGGAACTTTTGTATTTGCCTGTGGTACTCCTGATGAGTACTCAGCCCCAAAGGGCAGGGAATGGGCTTTCTAAAACAGCGGCACTGCAGGCTTTTCTTAGATGCTTGATACTTGTTTATTTCATAAAGGGAAAAACTTGAAGAATTTGAATGGATTTTTTAAAAGAAAAACATCAAATAGAGAAGGTACTAAAACTATGCTTTTGAAGCTTCAACCCAAAATTTACAGGTATTTCTATGTTCAACAGAGAGTTCTAAAAATATTGCCACATCCACACCTCAAGGGTTTGCTTCTGTCACTTTTCCCAAGGTGAAGCATTTATCTGATTATTATCAATAAAAACTCAGGAGTTGCTCTACCCTCTGCTTGAGGTGAGTGTGGGCTCTGCTCAAGCCCCAACTCCCAGCCATCACCCCCTCCTTGGATCTCTCTGGGCCTGCTCCTTGAGTAGAGTGGACCCTGAGTCCCACCACACCTCTCTCTTGGTTCCTTCCCCACCTTCCATCCTCTTCTTGAGTGAGGAGAATATCAGGAGAGGCCAGACAATCCAGAATTTCAGACACTGAAGTCTTGGCCCACATACACTACTGGGAGACTAGAGGAGATGGAGAGACCCTATCTGTACCCACTCGAAGAAGAGATGGGAAGACAACAGTATAAGAATACATTCAGCAACAGAAAGATCAATATGACACCACCAGAATCTAGAGACTCCATACCAGCAAGACCTGAAAAGCCCAGATGAAATAGTGTAGTGACCAGTCTCCCATTTTAGCAGCCATTACAGGCTAACATGTGCTTGCATGACCTTGCTGCTCCTGTCCTGGTCACTAGTAGGTCAGAACCCCTCCTCATGGCAAGGAGCCAATCAGAAGTTAGCTGGTGGGGCTGTACTTTAGGGCTCTGGGTGTGCTTTATGGACAGTGCACAACAGTGACATGCATAACATAGCAACCTCCCTGGGAGGGCCTATGGGCCATAACAACCAGTTGACCAATCAACACAGGGATTGGAAGTGCACCAATCCTGAGACTGTTTCATACCCCTAGACATTCCCCTTACGCTGCCCTTTAAGGTCCCTGCCTCGAGGTTGCTTGGGGTCTTTCTCCAGCCATTCGCCATGGTGGTGGGGTGAAGGGCCCAAGCTAATGGGGTTAGCTTGTTAAACACCTACAATAAAAGACTCTTTGCTTTTGCATCGAAATGGGCCTCTTGGTGATTTTGGGGTTCAGAATTTGGGCACAAAAACAGTAGAGATGGACCTTAAAAACTATTTTATGAAGATGATAGAAACCCTTAAAGAAGAAACAAGAAAATCCCCTGAAAGAAATAGAAGAAAAAGCAAACAAAAAATACATGAAATGGAGGAAAAGACAAACCAAAAAAATTCAACAAATAAACAAATCTCTTAAGGAATCTAAAGAAAGCCAAGAAAAGAACAACCAAACAAGTGAAGGAACAACTCAAACAGTTCAAAACTTGAAAGCTGGCTGGGCAGTGGTGACGCACGCCTTTAATCCCAGCACTTGGGAGGCAGAGGCAGGCGGATCTCTGTGAGTTCGAGGCTGGGCTGGACCGACAGCCTCCAAAACAATACAGAGAAACCCTGTCTCATAAAAACAAACAAACAAAAACTTGAAAGCTGAAGTAGAAACAATAAAGAAAACACAGAATGAGGGGATGCTGGAAATAGAAAAGCTGGGTAAATGATCATGAACTATGGATGTAAGTATAACCAATAGAATACAAGAGATGATAAGAGAGAATCTCAGGTTTTGAAGACTCACTAGAGGATATATAGCCATCAACCAAAGAAAATCTCAAGTCCAATAAATCCCTAACATAAAATATCCAGGAAATATGGGACACTGTGAAAAGGTCAAACCAAAGGAAAATAAGGATAGAAGAAGGTGAAGAAAGCTCACAGGTACAGAAAACATATTCAACAAAATCATAGAAGAAAACTTATCCAACCTATGCCTATGAAAGTACAAGAAGCATACAGAACATCAAATAGATTGGACCACAAAAAGAAGTCCCCTCACATAATAATCAAAACACCAAAATTACAGAATAAAGAAAAAATATTAAGAGCATCAAAAGAAAAAGGCCAAGTAACATATAAAGGCAGACCTATCCAAATTACACCCGACTCCTCAGTGGAAACTATGAAACCTGGCTAAGGTAACATGGGTGCCAGCCCAGACTACTGTACTCAGCAAAGCTTTCAATCACTATAGATGGAGAAAACAAGATATTCTATGAAAAAAAACAAATTTAAATAATAAATATCCACAAATCCAGGCCTACAGAAAGCACTGGAAGGAAAACTCCAACCAACAAAGGTAACTATACTCACAAAAACTTAGGCAATAGATAATCCCACTTTACCAAACACCAAAAGAAAAAAGGGGGTGAAATCCACATATAATAATATCACCACCAGTAAATCCAAAACAAGCAAGAATCAACAATTAATGGTCATTAATATCCCTCAATGTCAATGATCTTAACTTGCCTATAAAAAGACACAGGCTAACAGAATGGATCCAATGACAGAATTCATCCTTCTGCTCCATACAAGAAACACATCTCAATGTCAAAGACAGACGTTACCTCAGAGTTAAGGGTTGGGAAAAAAATTTCCAATCAAATGGACCAAAGAAACAAGCTGGTGTAGCAATCCTAATATCCAGCAAATTAGACTTCAAACTAAAATCAATCAAAAGAAATGAAGAAGAGCACTTCATATTCATCACCGGAAAAGTTCATCAAGATGAAGTCTCAATTCTGAACATCTATGCCCCAAATAGGAAGGCATCAACTGTCATAAAAGAAACATTACTAAAACTCAAATCACACATAAAGCCTCACATACTTATGGTAGGAGACTACAACACCCCGTACTCACCAATAAACAGGACCACCAGACAGAAACTTAACAAAGAAACAAAGGAACTAACAGAAGTTATGACCCATTGGGATTAACTGACATCTATAGAATATTCCATCCAAACATAAAAGAATGAATATACCTTTTTCTCTGATCCTCATAGAACCTTCTCTAAAATCAATCACATACTCAGCAACTTAGCAAACCTCCACAGGTACAAAAAAATGGATTAAGTCCCTGTATCTTATCAGATTGCCATTCACTAAAATTAGAATTCAACAACAACACAAATTGCAGAAACCCTACAACACGTGGAAACTGAACAATTCACAATTGAACCATTCCTGGGTCAAGGAAGAAATAAAAAAAGAAATTAAAGACTTCCTAGAGTTTAATGAGAATGAAGACACAACATACCCAAACTTATGGGACACTTTGAAAGCCATGCTAAAAGGAAAGTTCATAGCACTAAGTGCCCACATGAAGAAACTGGAGAATAGTCACACTAGAGAATTAACAGCACAACTGAAAGCTCTATAACAAAAAGAAGCAAACTCATGCTGGAGGAGTAGACACCAGGAAATAATCAAATTGAGGTATGAAATCAATAAAGTAGAAACTAGGAAAACATTACAAAGAATCAACGAAACAAAGAGTTGGTTATACGAGAAAATCAACAAGATAGACAAATCTTTATCCAAACTAACCAAAAGGCAGAGAGAGAGAGAGCATGCTAATTAACAAAACCAGAAATGAAAAGGGGGACATAACAATGGACACTGAGAAAATCCAGAGAATCATCAGGTTATACTTTGAAAACCTATATTCCACAAAATTCAAAAATTTAAAGGAAATGGACAACATTCTGGATAGATATCACTTACCAAAATTAAATCAAGAACAGATAAGCAATTTAAATAAACCTATAACCCCTAGTGAAATAGAAGCAGTCATCAAAAGTCTCCCAATTAAAAAAAAGCCTAGGTTCAGATAGTTTCAGTGCAGAACTCTATCAGAAATTCAAAGATGAGCTAATACCCATACTCCTCAAATTGTTTTACACAATAGAAGCAAAAGGGACATTGCCAAACTCTTTTTACAAGGCTACAATTACCTTGGTACCCAAGCCACAC